TCCTTACCGTGACTGCGTTTTTCGATCCATTATGTTAACGGTTTCCGGTATGATCCTGATTACGGTATCTTAAAGGCTGCGATCTTGTACTATTTACGCCACGTTACATGGTTATCCATTAATTTTGTTTATTCCTCCATTTAATTTGGCAAATGGCGCTTTTTTAAATACCTCGCTTAGGAATACAAAGTTAATAGGTCAACGTATGTTTCTGATTAAGGTAGCCTCACGATTACGACAGCCCACTACAGTACCTTAAAAATACCTTGAAATAAAAATTCTATATGAGATGAAATTTTGTTAACCATTATATTTTCCAGTGGAATAGTTATGGATTTCGACGCCTCTTAAGTACGATCTATTCTTAGTACGATACTTTACAGATTACGGTAATGCTTTGATTAGCGTAGTCTTGCGTAGATTCCCAGATTTCGCCGAGTGGGATTTTTCAAAAATTGGTAGAAAGCTAAGTTGTTAGATTTTGCTCGCGGCATTCTGCAAAATATGAAATCATGCCGATTACGACCCCTCATTTTTTCGGGCATCAGACTTCACGAATTGGTGTACCTTGCCAAGTACAATACCCTACAAATTACGTTATGGCGCGGATCTCCGCATACCGTATGACCCCCAATTTATTCAAATCCTCTGCCGCATGAACCAATTCCGAAATTTGGCGCGTGCCTACACACCCGCGACGTCAAAATGACCTACTTTCCGGGGTCGTCCTAGTTTGCCGGCAAAAACCCCAGCGAGAGGGCGACTAGAGGGGGAAGCGTTGTTATGGCATTTCGACCTTGGATTTAGACCCCCTATTCGCTTGGCCGGGACAACATTTTGGGGCGTAAATACCCATATATTTTCTAGGATTGTCATTCCTGATACCTAATTTCTAGTGTTTCGCGTTTTTTTCAAAGCTTCAGATTTTTGGAACGTTGCCAAAAAAGTTGCATAGATTCTATTGAATTTTTCTGTTTTCCAGTTTATTCTAGCCTTTCCTGGTCTGTTCCATACTTTTCTACGTTTCCTGAACTTTCGAGCATTGCGGAAATGAGTCCATCTCGTAGTCTTGACCAATTTTGTAAAATTTTCCACGTTTTTAGCGTTTTCTTGTCTTCTTCATACCATTTTTTTGCACTTTTCTAATTTTTTTTATATTCTTCATAACTCTGCAACTTTCAAATTTCACTTTTTAGCCCTAAAATGGACGGTGCATCGCTTCCAAAACGCCAAAAGCTCGCCTCGATTCTGGAGAATAAGTTTCGGTGCATGATTTCAGCTGAAGTGAAGGTGGGTAGAGCGAGAGAGAACGAGAGAAAGCGAGAGAGAGAGAGAGAGAGAGAGAGAGAGAGCGAGAGAGAGAGACACACAGAGAGAGAACGAGGGAGGGAAGCTAATTCCTCAATTTCAGCAAGAATCCGAGGAAGGCCTGCCCTCAACCTCCCCGAGCCCTCCAACTCTAGAAGACCGTTTAAGCCCAGTCGTCTCTGCCAACCCCTCAACTTCTCAAGCCAACCATCCAACCCTCTCATCCCTGTTGTCTGCCCCTTTAAAAGCCCAACAACAACAACAACAACAACAAGCTCCAAATAAGCCGCAAGCCGCTCAGCAAGGGCCTGGAGAGGAGGTAAGTATATTTAATAAGAGTTTAAAAATACCTTTATAGCGTGTAATTAGCTTCCAGATATTTGGGACAATCCTGATTTCGTGAATCCATTAAAAAATTATTTTTGAGGCCTTTAAACTCTACGCCCAATGCACGAGCTGTCGAATCTACATGCCCGATCAGAACGCCTTTATACAGCATGTGTTGCTGCATTACCCCGCTCAATTCAGGATTTTGGGTAGTAAGAGAGGTGCGTTTCAGAAACCACTTGACAGATATATCTTTATCTGATATGACTCTCTTTAAAATTACTTTATTTCGCTTTTTGAAGCATTTGGATTCAAAAAATGAAAATCTCCTTTTTTGCCTATTTAAGTTGGTTTTTAGAAGCCCCACCAAGCCCGAAAATCCAAAAACCTGCTGTTGTCAAGCCGAAAAACCCGGAAGTTGAAAGCGCCGATCCGAAAAAGCATTCGATGTTGAGAAGCTTACTAGGAGGTAAACCGGTTATTTATTATTAAACTACAGTAAGACTAGCTAATTCTTAAGTCTTAATTATAGACCAGGGTTGAAAAACCGCTTCGCGGCTTTTCAACCCTGGCCCCGTCTAGGATCGATGAAGTTATTGACTTTGCATAATTCTTGCCGAAAACCGCTCACCAAAAATGAAAAGCGCGCCCTCTCTTCCTTTTTATAAACCATTTCCACTTCCGGCGTATGCTAATTGCTTCCTAACAAAGAGCTTAGCCGAAAACTTTACAAAAACCTAATTTTAATATCGAAAATAGCAATTTTTCAAAACTTTTATGTGTGTGCAGTCGATTCCGGCCCCTTCTTTACCCTATGTCGTTACTTCCCTACCGAAAAAAATGCTTCCCTGAGGCTGTAGGTGCGGAACATCCAAACGGAAGTGCATGCAAATATACACACACACACACACACACACACAGACACTATTCTTTTATATATAGTAGGATTTTCTGTTTTTTGGCAATCGATACGATTTATGCAATTTTTACTACCGTATCTTTTCAGCTTCAACACCTCAAACCACCGCAACCCAGAGCCCTCGACTCCATGGCAACTTGACCCCAAAATCGGAAGCGAGCGTAAGTTAATTGGTGGGTAACCACTTGGTTCATTCTAAAGTTTTACTTATTAAAAGCATATTAAAAAACCAATTTAATCCCAAATTTAATATTTAAATTAACCTCTAAGAACGCAACGTTCTCATCTTCAGGATTTAAAGAAATTTTATCAAACCATTATTGACAAGTTTTAGAACTCCCCAAAAGCCAAGCCGGCGTGTGGAATTTGCGGAGAAATCTTCCCAAATGGGGATGTTTTGCTGGCCCACAACCGGGAATGTACACCTATGAGAAAGGTATCAAATTCTTAAAGAATGGCTATTTATTTGAATTTTTAGCTCCTTTCCATCAGCAATGCCGTGGTGGTAGAAGCCGCAAAAAGCTTACACCAAGCCCAGCAGGTTTCGATTCTAGACCAGGTACTTCTTGTGGTAGCTTTGGTGAAGGGAGGCTTTAAAGGGATGGTTACAGCCAATTTTTAAGGCCACCTTGTGGATTTCATAAATTGAAAACTTAAAATTGGTGTGAAAAATGCTTAAGCTTAAAATTGAATAAATTTGAAACATCGTCATTTGAAACAATTATTCATCTAATTATTAAAGAATTAAGCAGTAAACGCGCTTGAAATTAAGTTATAAAATTTCTTTTATCGATTTTTACAAATATAGATTTTGGGTATTATTTTTTTAAATAAACCAATTTGGCATCAATTATATCAAAATTACTAGGATTACTAAAACGTCTCAAAATCTTACTGAAAACGCTCTGGAGGATAGCGTCTGTATAACTTTCCTTTTTTCAGAAAAACCGTCTTCCCCACGCGCTACGTTCCGCAAACTTCAACAGCGCCAAGGAACTCTCCACCCTCCTCCAGGCCTACAATTTAACTAGAACGGCCATGAATAGAAATTAGCATATTTGTAGCTTTATTTTGCAATTTTTCATATATTGATTTTTGTCTGCTTGTGATCTCGGATATTGGCGTACACACGATAAACATTGCTTTATGCTCAATCAGTCCAGAAGAATAACCATAACCATAATTTCATGTTATGCAAACTCAAGAAAATTCCAATTTTTCAAAATCAGGTACGCGTTTTAGCACCGGCAGGGTTATGATAAGAAAGAGGAGATCGGAAGGGTATGAATACCTAATTTTTACGCAAAAAAAAGAAAATCGGAAACAAAATTTTGAATGAAAATATGCAAATTTCGTAGATTAAATAATTAAACTTGAGTAGTATGGTAGAGCACAATCACCCCTCCCCTGGCCCTAGATCCCGCAGCCCCCCCTCGGGCCCGCAGCCCGCGCGCGTCAGCTGTTGTGTGGGAAGGGTGGAGGGGGGGGGGACCCGGGGTGTGTGTGGAAACCGGGGGTCGGTAAAAAAGGTTGTATAATAAGTTGTATAATAAATATGTTACATAATAAATATATTACATAACAAATATATATATTACATAACAAATATTACATAATAAATATTACATAATAAATATTACATGAGGTATTTTTTTGAGAGGTGCCCAAGTTGCCCAAGTTGCCCAAGTTGCCCATGTTGCTCAAGTTGTCCAAGTTGCTCAAGTTTTCCGAGTTTTTTTTTCAGGTTACGTCATAGTTGGCTGAGTTCCAGGGGCTGTTTTGAAATAATGAATTGTAATAGGGGGAGGGAGCCTTAAAAAAGAGGGAAAGCCGCCCCAGCTCCATTCCAAAACAAAATGTCTCATGCCGCCCACACCGACCAAAAGATCGACATGGCTAATTCTGATGATCCTTCTCCTCTCGTCAAATGCTCCGGAACCGAACTCGATTCGATGGACGATTTCACCCCCGTCAAGAATATGCAAGAGTTCTGTGACGTCATGATGCGTGGGATGCTGTTTTTGCCCTGCTACGACCGCGCTCGTTTCCTCTGCGATGAGGTGTACTGTGGAGAGGTCCCGGCTCTCGTGAAGGCTCGGAAGATCTTCAAGCCAGCCAAGATGGAAGAAGGCATGGTCATCACTAACTGGCCAGAAGAACTGTACCCGTTCTCTTGGATGTTGATCAAGGACCCGTGTGTTGTTCAATGCCGTCTGAAGGAATGGAAATGACCCGGCAGTATGGAAAACTGACCATCCTCTTGTTTATTTTAAGTGTATTTTTAATAAATTGTTTCTTCCGCCAAATCGCAGATTTTTTTCGCACCCTTTGATGTCCTGGGGGTATCTTCGCTAAACTGTTTCTTCCGACAGATCGCACATTTTTTTCACACCATTGATGGCCTGGGGGTATCTTCGCATGTCCTGTGGACTTTGTCTCCTCGGATTTCAGCTCTGTCGGGATGTTGCGCAGACATATGGTCGGGGCGGCTCCAGTTATGAAGGATGAGGTAGGGTCATTTACAATCTTTGTCCCCCGACCGGAGACGGTTTTCGTTTCTCCTCAACTTTGCTTATTTTATTTTTTTATTTTTCGAATAATCCACTATTCTTTTAGCTGAAAGATGCTGCATTACATTTTTTAACAAAAAACAAGATACATTTCCCTTTTTAATACCGCCGCTTTGAAGATTTTTTATTTTTAAGCTCAATGGCTCCCGTGCGCGCAATGTCTGCTTCTCAAGAAGACGAGGTCAAGAGAGGTATAGAATAACTTTTGACTTCTTTATACGGTTTTAGGACCCGGTCGCCCTCGAGTGTTCAAGGTCGAGCAACGGCCGGGAGAATCGTTCGATGCTGCGGTTAAGCGCCAAGCCCACGTTCGACATCGTCTCAGCGTCAAGCAGCGCCTGATCAATATGAGGTTGGTTAGGTTTTATGAAGTAAAAAAAGTATTATAGAATTACTATAAATAGTTTAGGGCCCTTGTTGACGAGCTTCTCACCCTCGAAATCAACCACGAAAAATGGATGGAAGTGGTTCCCCTGCTCGAGAAGCTCCAGTCGATGAGGCCCGGGGCCCGCGTACCCAGTAAGTAGTCATCATCAACTATTTTTAAAAAAACCCTCCAGCAAAAAAGCTTTTTTTCTAGGAAAAAAAGGTGAATACCTGCCGAGCAACCCGGCCCGTAGAAGGGCCCAGGGCGCCGAGGCAATCCGCACTTTCCGCCAACGGCAAAAAGAAGAAGAGAAGGTCTTTCAGTAAGTAAATTAACGTTAATGCTTTCTTTTGCGCTTTTTTAGGACTTAGCATTCAAAAACACGTTTTCAGGGACGTGATGATCCTGAACATCAGACCGATTTTGCTCGAGACTTCGGGTGCCGAAATTCTACAACTGGCCCAAAAGTATGGTGTTCATTTCGATTTGTAATTGTCGAATAATAAATTGTTGTTAACAAAAGTCAATATGAAATGCTTTATTCAGTTTTAATTCCGGCAGGGGTGTTCGTTTCGCGTTTCATGCTTACTCAACAGCCATGAAAAAGTTGCCGACAGAGTCGCGATACAGAGTGCTAACAGACACTGTCGATAGTTTTCCCTGAACTTTGATATTATTCGAAAATAGTTGATGCTGAGTTACCTTAGGTCTTGGATCCTGGCCAGTTTCCGGGTCTTTCTTCCTATAGCCCGGGATCGGATAGAAGCTCAACTTCGATGGATCGGGAGACGGCGCTTTCTTTTCCGGCTCCTTCAGATGTTCTTTGCGAGGGCGACCACGAGTAGACCTCAGCGGGTCGTGTCGCTTGGGGGCAGCATTCTTTCGAGGACGGCCTCTGGTTCGTCGAACCGGAGTTTCTTCGCCAGGCAATGGGATTTCCGCAACTGCTGGCATATTCTCCAGGTTCATCTCAGACCTAAGGGCTTCTCCAGGCTTTTTCTCGTCGCTCGGGAGCAAGAGCCAGGTAAGAGGAACCATATCACTGGGTTCCCACCAAGATAGTTGTCCTGGAACAGCGGGAGTCGATTTGTAGATTCTTCCTCCGTTTAACAGTTCCGGCAGTTTATCGGTCGATATTTTCGTAGAGTCCAATTTGTCGGCGTCGAATCGAGGCATGAAAAGCGTGCCCAGAATAAGCGCGTCTAGCAGCTCGGGTATATCTCGGACCAGTTCGAAATTCGGATCGGCAGGGGTAGACGAAGGCGTCGGGGTACGGTAGCGGGAGCAGAACTCATGGTTGGGTGTGTTTTTTTGTGAATGAGCTTCAGGCTAGACCAGCGCCAATTTATACCCAAACTCTCGCTCCATGTATCGTATGATAAATTGGTCGTCGTTGCGAATTCTCTCCAGGACCCATATCAAATCGGAAAATGTCTTTCCCTTACTCATTTCTGTCACAAACCAAAATTGCAAAAACCACCACATGTTCGTGTAAATATCGACTGATGTGGGTACGGATTGTAGAAAATTTGAGTTGCAAATCGGTTTATCCATTCGTAAATTGGGTTGTCAGGGAATGGTGCATTACCGCCACTATCAAAATACCAAAGGCGACGCTCGCGATCACCTAACATTGCCACCCAGTGCGTACCGTCATCAGAGGCTGGGCTCAAATTAGCAATAACCGTAAAAGGAAAATGGGGAGGATCGGGAAGCTGGTCAGCCGGAAAAGTACCGAGAAAATGGCGGCGAGCAATAGGATGAGAAAATAACAGACGATCGATCTTAAAATTGTTCATCGGCTTAAATGGGCAAAACAGAGATTTGACGTTGAGCGTCGATGGTGATGAGACCGCTGAACTCGCCGGCGACGACGACTTGTACCGCCTCCGCCAGAGCTGTGTGAAATTCGAGCCTTAAGCCACAGGCACCACGAAGCGCAAGTTGGAATTCGGACTCGGTGCTATCAAGGCTAGCCGGCAGCAGATCGATACAGTACACGGCGCGAGAATCCTGGAACATTTCGGGGCTGATACCATTAGTGCGTTGACTAGCCGTAAAGCCGAGACTTTCCGACATTTGATGCCAGGCGGGCATAAATCGACCATGATAATAGTCGAGATCATACGGAGCGTAGAGGCACCGTCGTACCATAAAAGTCCACGTAGATGTTCCGCAAATAGTTGTGATTGAAGCGGAACGGATCTTTTCGTAGTTCCGGATAGGGCCTTGCATCCACAATCCCCACGAAAATACGTCGCGGGACCTGATTACCTGAAAAACACACGTATTCTTGTGTAAAGAGCTGTGCCAGCGTCCACAAAAAGCTTTCGTGACCATCTGGCGACATGGATACGTGGCTAATCTTCCGCTTGCCACCATCCGGTTGATCGCGGAAATCGTCTGGACCGAAGCACACTGCTTCCAACTAGGACGCAGCTGAAGCGATTTCAGTCCCACTCCCGCCACTTGCGTCCTGGGTATCGTCAAAATCGTTGATAAGAAAAGCGTCGGGCGACTTGAAAAGCTGAAGCATAATGTCCATCCCCGGCAGTAGCAGTCTATTTGACGCTTCGAGTCCGTAGATCTAGTGAGGTGATCATCTGGAACGTCTTCCCGTCCTCGGCCCATTCGGCTTTTTCAATGTAACCAAGGTTAGTTTTGGCCTCCTTCCCATCGTCTTTGGCCGAGTAGAAAGAAGCTTTGCCAAGAAGAAACTCCTTCGCATCTTTTTCGCGACAGAATTCGTTGATAAAGAATTGGCGATATAGGTTCAGATTCCCTGTTTCAACGACCGGAATTCCATTCAGACTCAGCACAATGTTCCGGAATAGAGCTTTTGCGAAGAAATTGACCGGGGCGGCACGCACCGTATCCTCCGCCTTTTCCGCAAGGTGAATTCCAACGTTGTTTTCGTTCAGAATACTGGCTTCAATCTGGATCGTTGTACGTGCTAGACTGACCGGATGGTGTTGTTTGACTATCGTGAAAGACCAGGGTCCATCTTGTGTAATCGCCGAGTCGAGGTTGATCACCCGGGTACGCATCTGATGGATCCCGATTGAGGTGGGGGGAGTAGAAAACAGATTTAGCTCTGAGAGCTGTAGGCAAACTCCGAGTCTTCGGAAAGCACCCGCATTTTTTAAGAAAGTTGATGGCGTCGGCGTGCTGTACGTCGTCTCTTGTGAGGAATGACGACGGCAACAGGGCGCAAGCAGCCGGCGAGGGCGGCCCCCCGCCCTTTTCTTCTTTACGCCGCCGCTCCACGGTCGATCAGGCGGACGGCGGACTCTTTGCCATGTCTTCAACGACTCCTTTTAGGTCTACGCCAGCGGAAACATCAGCGAGGGTCTTTCCAGCTGCCGTGATGAGCTCCTTGCCGACGGCTTTCCCCGCCCTTCAGGAATAGGCATTAGAAAACGGACAACAGATCCCCAGACTGAGCTGCCCTGCTGATACGGGGAGTGCCCATAAACATGGGAAAGTGAGCAAGACCACCCCCGCCAATTTGCTGCTGTTGCTGCTCAAAGACGGGCAGCCAATCAAACTCATCAGGGTCAAAAGGGAGATAATAGCGAACATGCGTCATGTCTAGTAGATTCGACGGAAATGAAGGCAGGCGATAGTGCTTCCGTAAGTTTCTACGAAGGGGCCGCCCCTGTCCTTGTCTACCAGCTTCATCGTAATAGCTTGGATGTCGCTGGAATGAACTCCGCGGCATTGAATTGCGTTAAACTCACGGGTGAACGTCTGTCCAAACTCTGGTATCGCCGACTGAGAAAGTTCGTAGCAAGGGGACCAGTCGGCTGCCGGACGACTGACGGCTCGACGACGCCAGAATAGACAATAGACAACGCCTCTCCCCAGATCAGGCAAGTATCTGGCAGGACCACCTGTTTTTTTAAGCTGGGACGGCTCGAACCCGCAAATGTACGCCAACTCTTTAGAAAGTTCTAGCCGTTTTACGAGATTACGATTTATATCGAGCACCAAACGGCCTGAAGCGGTATCATAGTGAAAAAAAACTCCAATAGTGCTCATAGCAGCCTCTTGTATCAACCGCTCCCTTTCCACGTTTCCTCGAGCGGAAGGTCGGGAGAAACGGAATAGGGGTATTCGCTGCTGATGAACGCTTGCGCTTGTGGAGCGGCGGCGGCGGGGTTTCTTGGAACGTGGTTTCGCATCCTTATGCTGAGGTGTAGAAGTGTGAAATGACGAATCCTGCTTTTAGACGGGGGTGTGGCTTTCTGAGGTACAGAAGACGGAGGTATCGGAGGAGGTGGTGGTGGTGGTGCCTCGATAACAACCGTCTTTTTCGTCTGTGTTCCGGCATCTTCAGAAGTTGGAATGGGTAGAAATTCTTCGCAATCGAAAGTCCCGAGATTAGGGTTGAAGATGGTGTCACCGTGCTTTTCCTGATCCTTGGTTCGGAGTTCTTGGAAGGTGTCTCGACGGGTTTTTCTCTGATTTCTCAGTCTCCTTAGGCTTCACTTCTGGATTTTCCTGAGGATTTTCCTTGGGCTTTTCCACAGTCTTCGCAGGTTCTTTAGGCTTTTCCTGAGGCTTTTCCTGAGGATTTTCCTTGGGCTTTTCCCATCTCGCTTTTTTTCTTTTTTCTTTTTTTTTCCCCTTTTTTTTTCTTTTTTTTTTTTTTTTTTTTTTTTTTTTTTTTTCTTTTTTTTTTCTTCTCCTCCTTCTTTTCTTCTTCTTTTTGTTTTTTCATTTTTTTTTTCCCCCTTTCCTTCTTTTTCTCTTTTTTTTTTTTTCCTCCTCCTCCGTGTTTTGCGCTTTCCCTGACTTCTCCTCAGGTTTTTCCTTGGGCTTTTCCTTAGGCTTTTCCTCCTTAGGCTTCTCCTTTGGTTTTTCCTCAGGCTTCTCCTTAGGAGGTTCCGTTTCATTTTTCAAAGGCTGTTTGGCCGGTATAAACGCATCATAGTCTAAAGTTCCGAGGTTTGGATTAAAAACAGTATCTGCGGCATGTCGCCGTTTTCTCTCCATTCTATGGCACCTCTCGGATCCAAGGCTGCATTGAGCGCTCTAGCCAATTCGGATGGGTCTTTGTAGTTTCCACGAGGTAGTTTTCCGTGAAATTCTAAGCCAGCAAAAACTCCGTGATGCACGACCTTGATCGTCTCGTCCTCAGGCATTGTGTCCCAGGAGAAACAGGTTTGAATCTCCGCCAGCCCGACTTCCCATCGATTTAAACGACCATCCAGATCATACAAACGCAAATGGTTCGGCATACGGTTCACAAATACAGAAGACGTGTTTTCCGGGGAATCCGTCGCATTACTGGCCAAAACAATATAAAAAGAATCGTCTTGCATACTTAAACAGCTTGTACTAAAGCGGGCGCGCTAGGTTTTCTAAATGGGTAAATCGGTGACGGCGCCACTAAGCATAAGGCACCGCCCACGATCATCAGTGTACGCTTGCTAAGTGCATCGCCTCGATAAACATCATGCGCCATGCTAAAGATGGAAAGCATCATTAAAACCGTAAGAATCGCGAGGGTCGTGAAAACTCGAATCTCTCGTAGTCTGTAGGGACCCGAACATCTAAATGACTGGGTGCTGCCTGTGTAACTTTCGTCTGAATTCGATGTCATTTTTAGACAAATGAAACAAAAAAAACGTTTATTCAGGAAGGCGGAGTTCTTAAGTCGATTACGTCCTCGGCGCTAACCCACGAGTTGAATTCGTCACCATAATCCAGCCACTTTACAAAGTACTCAATCTTCCCTTTTCGTCGGCGCTCCTTGAGTATGCGCTCCACTTTGTAGACTCCGTCGGGATTCTCAGCACGCTGAAGCTCCTGTTCGTAGAATCGCCCTTCAATCAGCTCTCCGTTCAAGTCAGTCACACGATACGTGACAGGGCTTCTCATGTCAATCTGCTTGATGACAAACAGTTCAGTTCCCCATAATCCACGGAACCCCTTCTGAAAAACCTGGCGTTTGTTGGAAAGAACGACTGAGTCTCCAACTTCGAAGCGTGAATTTGACGCAATTTTAGCATGGCTCGCAGGTAGCTTCGTTTCAATATCCACCTCTGCCGGACGCATTCCAGTAACTGTACTTCGTGTATGGTTGAGCGTGTCGGCAATCTGCTGAACGACGTCGATCCACCTTCTAGTATTGTTTTGCGTAAAGTACCTGTAAATCTTGTACTTGATAGTCTTCAGATGGGCTTCGGCTACCTGGGCCTTCTGATCACTTCCACGTAGCGTGAAATGGTTAATGTGAAGATCCTCGTAAAGCTTTAGCATGGGCCCTGTCGTGAACTCCTTGCCCTTGTCGGTGAGAAGATTGAAAGGGATCAGTGAATCGAACATTTTGCGCATTGCCTCGGCCACCGTACCTGGTCGTTTGTCGGACAACGGAGCCACCATAATAAACTTAGAATAAACGTCGACTACTAACAGCAGCCACTTCATGCCGTCGTTCCATGTCGCCAAAGATGTGAAATCGCCTAAGTCAGCTTGAAAATCGGTCCAGCTTTGATAACTAGTCATGCGTAGACGCGGGTATTTGACCCGGGCCGGGGCATGAACATAATGACTTGGAGTGCTGCGCAGAAATTCCTCAATTTCCGGTTGCGTGAAGCCATGTTCCTTTCCAACTCGACGTAGTGTAGTGGCAGAAGAGTATGCAGAAGGAGAATCTAGCGAGGTCCAGAGATCTTTTAGAGTAGGTGCCATTTAGTGCTTGCTGTACGATTTCGGAGTGAACAGCTTTCTTTTATGACTGGGTCGAGGCGTCGCTTCCAGATCGTCGTACGTCTCGTCTACCCCGTTCCGGTTCAATAGGGGCGTGCTGTACTGTGCAAACAAGGGTGATGCAGGATTGGCGATTTTCACGGCGTCCAACACGTCTACCAAGAACGGAGGATCCTTCCCACGCTTGTCTTCGGGTGTGTTTAGATGAGCGACAATTTTATTTAGCTCTTTTTCAGGAACTGTGACGCCAGCGTCGACGGTACGGCCTTTAACCGATTTGTTGAGTGGAAAGTGTCTGTTCATCTCCTCCAACAGAACCTTTCCAAGCTGCTTTCCACTTCGAGTATGCCTGGGTGACGGTGTATTCAAGGGTTCTTTAGGCTGACGTCTTGCTCTTTTAAGCGGAGGCGGGCGAGGGGTGGGGACAGGCGAGAGTGGCATCGGAGGTGGAGGCAGATCAGCAATCGCAAGCGGGGCCGGGTAACGGTCAGGGGAAGAAGCGCGAGGCGCCGGCATTGGATGCCGTCTGCGCAGCTCGGCAAGCAGGTCGGTGAAAACAGAGAGAAGTTGATTGTATACGGGGGTCTTAACATTGTCAGGAATCCGGTCGTCTTTCAAAGTGCTTTGCATACGCTTGTCCAGATCGAGTAGTCGCTGCTTGTCGACGTCGTCTTGGGTGAAGCGCGTGAATGGTTGTCCGGATCCCTGTTGGCTATAAGGAACAAGTCGCATTTTACGAAACATTGAGCAAAAGTCTTGCTGCCAGATCTATGAGTGCAGGTAGAACGAATGGCAATACGCCGTCTCCGGTCTGAACAAGTCCGCGACGCGCCGCCTCTTCTTGTCGCTGGCGCGATAAGTGATCGATTGTGTCTACGTGGCGCTTCAGCTTCCGAATTTCATATTTATGAAGTGGAACATTGCCTGCTTTAACGTTGTACATCGACTCGATAAGACATCCTAGCTGATCGTACGACGCCTTCCGTAGAATTCTACGCATATTCTTGGCGGCTTGGAGTCGTTTCAGGAAGCTGAGATTCGCGGTTAGGCGCCGATCAGCTGAATTTAGAGTGTTACCAGACTTGGTCATGATGAGTGAATGAATGAGAAGTTATCGAGGCACATACACGATCTCCCCGCCCACGTCGTCAGGAAAGATGTGTGTCACGAGGCGCTGTCTAGGATCAGCCAACACATGGTTGTTGATTAGCAGGTATCCATAAGGATCTGAAGCACACACATCCTCATAGGCATCGACGAGGAACCGGCTTCCGGGAAATATTTGGGAATTTAGAACACGAACTTGGTTCCGGTCGGCGTTATTCTTCGTCAGCAGCAAGTACGATGCGTTGACTCGACTTGTCCTGTCTCCGCAAAAGGCGTTTTGTGAAATGACGACCAGGGAATGGTTCCTATGGTGCACCCCTTTCGTAAACAAATCAACTACGGTTTTGTTCCGCTTTAACTCCGTACATTGGTCGTCGATTACAATAAAATGTGGGCCCTGAAGCGCCTCAATGTCCGTGTCAGTTGGTAGTCCTTGAAATAGACGGACCCGCGCGTCCATCTCAACCAAATCGTGGTATAGTGGCTGATCGATACTGTAGCAGAAAAAAGGATTCCCTTGCAGACATCCGGCGGATCGGTCAGAACATCAAGCCACTGTATTATACGTTTGAGAAGAAAACTCTTTTCCCGAGTTTGACGGTCCCACGATAAAACAGCTGAAAGGCCATCGAAACCGAAACTTCTCGATTTCGTCGTTTATTCCAGACATTAGCAAATACAAATTTCAACAGCGTCTTGTGGATAATTATAACCAGCAGATCGAATGACTGGATCGTAACTGCACTGAGTATCGAACTCGTGGAACAGTCGATAGTAGACGTCAAGCGGCACGCCCATTGAAGACGGCATTTCCTGCGTTCGGCGGGGCCCTTGGAGGAAGACCTTTGAAGAATGGGCCTGCACATCAACAGGGCAAGTGTCCCATCGGATTTGCGGTTGCGTCAGCTCCTTTTGTGTCATCCGACATCGTAGATTACTATTTAGAAGCAGAGTCACGACCTCGACGCGTTCTCGAGGCGTCAAAGGACGGAAGTTCTGCTCCGAGCGGCGGTACCGCACGTTCAAGAAGAGATTGAAAGGAATCCAGTGTTTCTGAGAAGCCATTTGTGAGAAAGTGAATGATTTGCGGCGAATGCGCGTGCTTAAATAGTGATAGCTCGGTTTCTCTAAGTCTCTTATTCTCTTGCTTTTTTAAAGGGACTATTTTAATCAACAAGTTTTTTATCAACAAGATTAGTAAGCGATTTTTAGCGGGTTGTCATGATGTAGAAGGCGAGCAACAGCATGACGGCCAGAATCACCTCCATCGACATGTTGCCGTTAGTCATGTCAGTGAGCCTGGATTCGGCATCCGAGCAGACCAGCGGGAACGAAAAGCTAAAATTGTTTGTTAAATTTCGACTTTTTTTTAACTAACTTTTCAATTCCGTAACAACGTCCCGTAGGACAATATACAGGGCAGTCGCGGTAGCGAACGATGACGAAATCATTTGAGGGCCCGGAAAGATTACGGAATATTTGAATATTCGCAAACATGATGGCAAGGGTTGCGAGTGAAACCGTTTCCCAGGACCCTATCGTTTCCTCGCGCGAAAACATTAGTCATCGCTTTGCCCTTTTTTTGGCGGGCTTCTATGTGTTTGTGGCACCGGAAATTGATTGGGCACGCGACATGCAAATGGTGTCAACAAAAAAAACCAAGAAAATTTATCGAGAAAAACATCTAAAAAGATAAAACTGTTTAAATCACACGACCAAATTGAAAATAGCGACCATCGGGACCCGGATACCCTTTATTATAGACAACAGTATATTTTTTGGTCTCTTTAAGGGTTTCCAAAACGCCGGGTTTAGGTCTACGAATATTACTATAGTGAAAATTGATAGCGGGAGGGTCATTGTCTTCTTCGTAATTTGCCCCCATCTCCTTGTGACGTTCCAAAAACTGCTCAGTCATGTCGCGCATCCGATCATACGTCAGCCTCGATTGGTTCGCCAAGTCTTGCGTGATTCCTGAAATACTTGTTTTTTTGTTGCTGTTTTGCGCAGCTTACCTCGCGCCTTGACGATTTCGCGGTATTGCTCGACACCGTCGCGCTTCAGAAGTGCTGCGTATTGCTTTGACCCTGAACTTTCTCTATTGGTTTGCGCATTTTCAACTTACCCGGGCATACAAAACTGACGCAGGTCCAGCCTGACGGGATCTCTGAAGACAGCTGACCGAGTTGAGGGCCAACTTCACGCGCGTAGAATCGTCGTACCAGATCGTCTTCTTCACAGCAACCACCCTCGAACACGATCGAGTCAGTATCGGTATATATCTGAACAAAAAACTATTCTAATTAATAAATTATTTACTCACATGTCGAGGATACACCTGCAAAAGAAGCTTATTCAAGCGAATTCGAGCACGGCTCGTCGTTATGGCAGCCACAGCAATAGAACCCCTCGACCGGGCCACAACATCGTCTCGATGACCCTGAAAATTCACTTGTAAAATACATAAGTTTGGTACCTTGTGTGTAACGATCCAGACTCCATGCTCAGCGACCAAACATTCATCAGTGATCACCCTTGTTGGGTTACACCAAATCTTCTCGACTTCTTCAGCGGTAAAGCAGACTGACGTCATCGATTGGCTCGGTTTTTGTCCGAATTTACCCCCTGAAAAACGCAGTGAATACGAGGTCAAGATGATACTTACACAAATTATTATTGGCAAGCTTAGCAAGCCAACGTGCTGCCGGGTTCCGGTCGATTTTATCGGGCCTGAGATCGATTCCCATGTGTCGCTTGAAATCGGCGAGGAAGGCATTCTTCTCGTCGTCGGTTTGAACGTTGTCAGGCCATCCACTTGCTTCGGTTTTTCTTCGGATATTGTCACTAAATTCGAGTCTGTTTTTTTTCAGTCAATTTACTTACTTCACGTAATCCCGGAAAAAGTCAGCCGTAAACGACGACCAGCTCATGGTTTCATGCACCTTCACAATCTGGCATCCCCAATCGAGTGCCAACTAAACGCAGACTATAATTTCTGAATTATGAGAGTACCTGAAGCTCTTCGTACCAGTACACATCACGAAGAAACCGTTCAGAATCCGAATGAGGGCAGCGAGTTGGTGGCTTCTTCATTTCAGCGCAGCGCCCACAGACAGGGAATTGGAGTCCCCCTTTCACTGTGAGCGGCAGAAGTGCGATCCGGATGTCGCGCGGGACCAAGACGTCAACATACAGGAACCCTCGAATCCGGATTTCTTGCACAAACCGGTCTTCATGAAGAAGCATTCCTTCTTCATAGACTTCCACTTTCCGCATAGTGTTCTAAAAAAGCAGATTTAACGAGTTTTTTTTAATCACCTTGACGATATGTGTGGGTAGGGGACCAGATTTCCCTTGAAACATTTCGATTTTCGCGGGGCCGAGCGGGTAGAGACCGTTGCGTTGGACGTGCGGATACATGCTAAAATAAGGTAACATTAAAACACAAAAAACATACCTATTCACGTCCTGATAGTGTACCGTTTTGCCAGGAGTGGACATGGGCTTGAACGCCTCGGTGCGGCCGCCCTTGAGGGCTCTTCGGGGACACATACGCCCGACAATGTCGAGCTCAGAGCAGAACTTCTTCATTTCAGCGTCGACTTTCAGCTCATTGAGGAAGTCACATTCTCGCATAACGATCAGTTCGTCGAGCATTTCTGAATTTATTTGTATATATCAAAAAAGAAGAAACTTACTCGAATCACGAAGATGTGTATGCCGCTGGCGGGTCTGCTCCCACCGCTCCTTCATAATTTCCGTTTGTTTTGGCCCTGCCGGAAAGCTCCCATTCTGACCGTAGCACGAAATGCAGCCTAAAAAAATATTTGGACTAATTTAAAGGGTATTCTTACCATGCCAATAGCATCCATCAAATTCGAAGCCGATCTTCTTTCCATCTGGCAATTCAGAGTAGCCGTCAAGGAAGAATGAACGACCAGCACATCCAATTTTCTTCTCACCACCGTGGGCAAGATGACGTTGAATAGGGTGTCCGTTCTGCTTGTACTCCATCCACTGCAGCCATCGTTCAGCAACCTTAACAATAGGATGTATCAATGCTAATTAAAAAAAACTCACCTCGGAATACGGACGTTCAGCTCCTAATGGCGTTTCCTTGACCATGGTGACGCTTTGGCCCTTGTAGTAGCGCATCAGGAAGAGCTGCATGCACGTCGAGGCCAACGTGGCACAAGATGAGAAGGGGCAGAAGCCGCCTCGCTCGACGTGGTTTTTCCGGAACAGCATCACACCGGCCATCAGAACGCGGACATCGGCTTCGCAATATTTCCAGATCTCTTCTTCGAAATTGAAGGGTTGCCCGGCCTTCTCGCGCAGGAACTCTCGCACCTGAAACAGTGAATTAGTTGAGACATTCGAAAACCTTTTCCAGCTGATCCACAGTTCGAACGGGGAACCATTCCTCAGTGGGCCAGTTCCTCGGTATCGGCTGACGCCAGTAATCGCAGTTGGCAAATACCGGGAAGACGCCTTTTTCTTCTGGAAGCCTGAAGACTGAGGCGAACTTGCCCAGGCCGATCGGGATGAACTGGTAGCTGTCGATGAACCTCAGCTGAAAAAATTAAGGGTCGTAAACTGGTGAAACATACCTTGTTCCTGCGTCGTTCATGCGGAGCTGGCGGGCGTTGAGCTTGTCCTCGTGTCGGCTTCACGTCACTGGCACGTCCGGAAACCTTCATTTCGATGACCCGGGACCCGCGCATCATTGGACGAAACGGGATTTTGCGCTCCATCAGTGCCGGCAACAGGAGGATCCAATCATACCCGCCTGCAAAAACTTGAATAAAAGGAGACCGAAATTACCTCCGTTATGAGCGATAACAATCTTCTCCTCATACTTGACGTGGTTTTCGAACAGTAGATGATCAACAACATCGTCCAGCACTTTTCCGTGGCACCAAGTTTGCCCGTCAAGGTTCGAAAACCTGAAAAACGTGTCTACAAAATCTTTTTTTTGTATACCTTTTTTCTAAGCATTTTCCGCGACATTGCCCAGGAGGCTTTCGTACGATCCATCTGTCACGTAGCTTCTTCTGTCGATGCTCCTGACCCGGTGGATTGTCAGGATGGATCGCGGGATGATCAGGAGGGCCGTCATGACGTTCAAGTTGTCCTCCGAGGACGGATTCCGCAGACCACAAGCTAGAATAAAAGTGTTCGTAGATGGCATAGACTTACTCGTCTGGAGTGCATTCCTCACACATTTGTTTCAGGAAGCAGTGTGTGGCCTTGTGTGGGACATTGATCATTTGATTATTGAGCCATTCGACAACTTCAGTTTCAAAATCCAGTACAATTATTCTAAAAAAAGGTGAAAATTGGCCCGAAATTCTCACATGTATTTTTGCGTCTTGAAGCGATAGGCTGGTTTGTCGAACGCTGGGGCAAACAAGCAGTGGTGCTTGATCGGCTGCATCGACATGCAAGTTTCGCAGTAGCGTCTGGAAATTACACCAATCAGTTCTGAAATTATGCTTACCTGTCGCAAATATGTGCCTTTTGGCCGTACTTGGTGGCATCGTAGTAATAGTTGCATTTCGGGCAGAAGAACTTTTTGCCGCAGATTCGATTAGTTAGGTGACGTCCAAAGCAATCCTGGTTCCGGAAGTCTACTTGACATCCCCGACACCTCTCGAAAAAGTCGCGGTCTTCACATGTCTTGCCGGCAATTTCACATCTTATGCAACGCCATTCACACCTAAAATTTGACTAATCTTTAAATATAATTTACTTTTTGTGATAGTTTTTATTGTAGTAGAGACCGCATCCTTCACATTGATGATCATACGTGAAGTTTTCCAAGGTGCCGTAGGGTCCATTACGACAAAACACTGTCGCTCTCGGCGATCGATGAATCGGCTTGAAATGTTCGCGCTCTTCGTCGTATACAATTCCCATAGCACGTCCATTGACATTATCATATGTAGGTGAGCAATCGAGCTTCTTTCCCCTGAAAATTCGTTGTGTTTTTTTTGGATGCTTCTACTTACGATTTATTGAACAGGAAGACGCGGGCTAGCTTCCGGCGGTTGACCTCCTTGAGCACGTTGACTGCTTCAGGAAGAGTGACCTGTAAATCTCTTTTTTAAGGAGGCTGGATTTTTAAGGTACCATTTCGCCCCTTTGGTAGTCGCTCCATAGCAAACAAAGGAAATCCTGAGCTTTGCGAATCACTTCCGGAACTAGACCATTTGCACCATCAAAATCCTTTTCGAGATCGGCCTTTCGCTGGCACCAAATTCGTCTCTGTGGCCTAAAAAAAGCGTTTTTTTGATTTGGACTACGGAATTACTTGGATCTGATTTCCTGCTTCTTTTTGCCTCGGACCAGCGTCACGTTGAAGTCCATGACTTTGGCCAGCTCCACAACCAAGTAGACACTCATGGCGAAGCAGGCGTTTTCAAGCTCATCTGCATCGAATCCTACGAGTTTATTGCGCCATACATCGACACCAGTCCCTCCTCCTTTCTGTGGCTGGTAAGTATCGAGCTGAAACAGTGTTTTTTTTTTGTCTAATTTTGAGTTACCTGTAGAGTGAAGCCGGTGAGATTCTTCATCCGATGTGAGCTATGCACTTTACGCTCAATGAAACCGATCAGAGCTCTCGCAGTAATCTGTGCCTTTAGACGAGGGGGCAGATATGCCGTCCAGCGATCTTCGTTTCTACCGTCAACGTCGAGTGTGTGGCACTTCAGCATCGCAGAGAACAAGCCCTAAGAAATTTTAAGATTGAGGACGTGATTTAAACATACCTCATCTCTACCGATGGCCTCGAACAGCCTTTCCATAGCCTCCTCCATGATAGGAAGGAAGAGATCATGTACGGTTGTCGGATCAACATCAACAGTAGCCGTCACCTGACTCATTCTAAGTCCACGGGCCGTTGTCTTCTTGATTTCGATACGAAAATCTAGGGAAAACTTCTCTTTTTTGATGCAACAAAAAAATACCTTCCCCGTTCAGCTTTTCTCGTTGCCTGGCCAGGACTTCAGGTGCGATTTCATGCTCTGAAATGTATAGGAAACTATTTTGTCTTTTATTTACCGTCAAAGATTGCATTGAGACCACCGTCCTGATTCAAAATCTCATCAGTAACGTTGTCCGCCTGGACATTCACATCTACTCGACCGCCATCCCCTCCATAAATGACATGTTGAGGCTGAAACAACCGGTCTTGTTTAAAGTCCAAAAATACCACTTGGATCCCCGAAGGACCAGGCATTTGATCAACATCATTTTCTGTATTTTTCTTCCTCTTCTTCTTGCGTCTTGCATCTCTCTTAAGCGATTGTACTGTACTCGTTCGAACACTTACCGAATTTCCCTTTGTCTTTCTAGCCTTTCTCTGGAAAGAAAAAGAATTTTTGGGCTTTTCTTGTGTGGGCTTACCTTCGGTTTACGAGGATCATGAGGCGTTGGAGGCGAGGGAACCGGCGAAAAGCGTGGTGGTGTTTGTGGTGGTGGTGGTGGTGGTGGTGATGGTGGTGGTGGTGGTGGTGGTGATGGTGGTGGTGGTGGTGGTGGTGAATCGGGGGGCGGCGGCGGGGGAACTACGTTGGCAACCTAAGAACGCGTAAAATCATGACCTAAGCATCTGCCTACCTGCAGTGCATGCTGACCAGGGTCAAGTAGTGCGATTCCCTGCTGAGCTAGCGCACTCGCTATGAATTGTGATAAGGAAATGTCTTTGGAGAAACGTACCTGTTGCAGCCGCATTTAAATGAAACATAGCCATCAGATTCCATTCTGATAGCAATCGTAAAAGGTGATCATCCATATGATCCATCGCGAAAAAAACGTGTCCGTATCTAAACTAAATTTATTGAAAAAACGGTTATACAGCAGAAGAATGGAAAATAATTGCAAAAAAAATATTTCAATAGTGATCGGCACAGTGTTTTTGGGCTATACGTCCATGAACGGGGCAAACCTTCACATGTTTAAACCAAGCAAGCTGATTCTGGAATGGATCAACATCTATTTCAATATTCGGGCCTACTTCAGTTTGAAGGTTAGTGTATTCAAAGTCCGGTTTCTTGCACATAAAGGAATTAGTAAAGTGTCTCTTTTCCGCTTCCGGCTCCTTTTTCTCATCCTCTTCCGTGTCCTCTTCCATATCTTCATTCTCTTCCTCTTCCATATCTTCATTCTCTTCCTCTTCCTCTTCCATATCTTCATTCTCTTCCTCTTCCATATCTTCATTCTCTTCCTCTTCCTCTTCCATATCTTCATCCTCATCCTCTTCCTCATCCTCATCCTCTTCCTCATCCTCATCCTCATCCTCTTCCTCTTCCTCTTCCTCTTCCTCTTCCTCTTCCTCTTCCTCATCCTCTTCCTCTTCCTCATCCTCAGCCTCATCCTCATCCTCATCCTCAGCCTCATCCTCTTCGTCTGGATCCTCGTCGGCATCGTAGTCCATAAACATTTCGTCGTCCGTTTCCTCATCTGTATCCGCATCCGTGTCCGTCAGTTCTTCGTCTTCCCAATCGATTCTCGCTTCGCCGAAGGTGTCTAAGGGCTGTGTCTCCGGAAAGCCCATTGCCTCCACATGAGCGAACCATCCTGGACTAGGGCGCATCTCATCGTAAATCTCCATTAGTATTTGTCCTGGCACCTTGAAAGCCGACAAAAGTTCTTCCCATTTATCTTCGCCGTACACGTCGCTATCATCTTGGAACAGGTAACGATCTTCGCCGAAAGGATTTTTAATGTTGCGGAACGGATCTTGCTCGCCGCTACACACGTCGTTGTTGTCTTGATTCATTTTTGCTTTAAAGGATTATTTTTTAAGTAAATTATCAAAAAGAATCGGAAAAACGGTTGCATAAAAAAACTGATTGCGTCATGGATGGTGTGGCCCCGTGGTGTAGTACACCATGGCCCCGTGGGCCTTAGGGGCGGGGGCCAAGGGGGGTGTTGGCCCGAGGGGTGTGGCCGATTTCGAAATTTCAAAAAAAGACCGTGTAACCGAGAGTATCTAGATTAGCCTATTAAAGATTGAGGATAAGGGAAACTAAAGAGAACCTAGTGAAGCCAGTGAAAAAAGTACGGTGTCTAGGCTATAAAAGCAAAACTTTGAACGATCCAGTCATTCTCAAACAACCCACAAACCGAACCATGTCTACAACCACTTCGTCCCCAGCAAAAACCGACGACGACGTCCGCCCAATGTCTCAGAAGCAGCTCATATGTAGCATTGGACCGCGAACAAAACCACAAATGATAAAGATCGTGCTCTGCAAAAACTGTATCAACACCACCTCACTACTCGCTAAGGAGGGGCGATGTGTGTACAAGGTGTGGATCTGTGACTCGTGCCAGCAGAACAACATCAGCCAACGCTTCCCACCGAAAATCGCAGATGCTCAAACTAACGCGGCTAATTAAACCTTAAAATAAATTCAGTGTATTTTTTTTATTTGAAATAAAACTTGTTCTTTATTAAGCCAAAAAAAGCAAGCACTACAAGCATAACAAGACGATTATTAAAGCACACTACGAGTGGAATACGCAGGAGAAGCAGAAATTCGCAAATTTTAGACTACAAAATTCACAAGGCAACAGTGAAAAATCGGGAAGAAGAGATTTTTAAACGAGAGAAAAATACCATTTTGTCTATTCTGACGTAGTATCATACATATGCGAAGACGAGGAATAAGCATCATCTGGCAGTGGCGTGGCAGGCCGAATCGGGAACTGAGGCTGCCTCGAGAGTCTCGTAGCTGAAATTTCAAAGGTATTTTTTTTGCCCAAGCTCATTTCTAATGTTCGTTTTTTCAAAACTTACTCATCCAGCTTGATGTGATGACGTCGGACAGCGTCGATCTTGTAGCTTCCGGGAGGAAAATGTCTTGCAGAAATTCTGAAAATTTTTAATTATGGGAATACTCAACTTAATCAAGAGAACATAGAAAGCAAGCTCACCTCGTATAGCCAGGTCATGAACAAGCGGCAATTCCTGTCGATAGTAGGCCCTGTAGAAGTGGGGGTCCGATCTGCAGAAACAAAAGAGTACGGAAATTAATTGTAGTCTACCTGACAGGTTCCTCGCAGAGAACTTTAGAAGTGACCAACGAGTAAACCGTCGCACCAAACCCCCAAACATCAGCTGACGGGCCGTTGTAGTTCCCCGCGAAGTGTTCAGGCGCCATGAATGGCGTCGTGCCGCAATGGCGGGTGAGACGCTGACCTGGGCGACACCAAGCGGCGAGCCCCGTGTCACAGATTTTTGTGCTCCCTAACAGCCAACGGATAAAAAAGAGGAGAATTAGACACTAACCGTTCTCCTCCAGCATGATGTTCTCCGGCTTCAAATCAAGGTGGACAATATTGTTGTGGTGCATCCAGTGCAAGCCTTTAGCGACCTGACGAAAAATGGCAATCAGGCACTCGACGGTGAAGCCGCCACTATAGACTAAAAAAAAGGGAAGTTGAGAATAAAACCAGAAAACCCGACCGCGGAAGAAACTGAGGTCCTTCCCCTCGACAAGATCCATAGAGACCAGAATGATTTTCTCCTCCGGGAAGACGAAGCGTTCTTTAAAAAATTTGAAATAAAAAGAGAAAAGGTCAAATCTACTAACCGGTTATCATTGCCAAGAATTTTGCCCCAATGCCACGGCGTAGCACTCTGCATATCTCCATCTATACAAAAACTAATACTGTAATCGATAACTGAATACCTCTTTCTCGAGATATTCCATCTGGTCAGCCCTGGTTATTTTCATTCTTTTTACTGCTACAGCTTCAACCGAGCCCTTGGGCTTCCAGCGGAAGACGTCTCCCTGACCGCCTAGCATTGGAAAGTCACGAAAACGGTTAGAAAGGCACCTGACTCCAGGTGCGCAACTTCCCCCTCCGGGTCAAAGGCTCCCTTGGTGACAGCTAGGAGCTTGTCTAGCGGAAACCCGTTCAGACGCGGAAAATTTCCAGCCTCGAAAGGCTTCAAATTCTCCTTATCCTCCTCCTCACATCGCATGAATGGCATATTTCTAGAAAAAAAGAGTTACAAAAAAGCTTAAGGAAAATTGGGGTCTTGGGAGACCAAAAATTTGGGTCGGCGGAACACGAATGACGGTTTTCAACCACACTTACCATACTCAGCACGCGTCGTCTTACACCCTTAGCCGGGCCGTTCTTGGGACCAGCTGACATTACTGCATAAGGGGACGCTATCGAAATTTTCAAAATTTGAATTCATCCCCCTGGAACTCAGCCAACTATGACGTAACCTGAAAAAAAAACTCGGAAAACTTGAGCAACTTGGACAACTTGAGCAACATGGGCAACTTGGGCAACTTGGGCAACTTGGGCACCTCTCAAAAAAATACCTCATGTAATATTTATTATGTAATATTTATTATGTAATATTTGTTATGTAATATATATTTGTTATGTAATATATTTATTATGTAACATATTTATTATACAACTTATTATACAACCTTTTTTACCGACCCCCGGTTTCCACACACACCCCGGGTCCCCCCCCCCTCCACCCTTCCCACACAACAGCTGACGCGCGCGGGCTGCGGGCCCGAGGGGGGGCTGCGGGATCTAGGGCCAGGGGAAGGGTGATTGTGCTCTACCATACTACTAACTTGCGTTTTTAATTCTTAGCCCGTCGTCCGACGCTTCGACGCCCGGGAGTACTGTAAAAAACGGCTTCAATTTAATTAAAATTCCTTTAAATTGCAGGTGGTCTTTGAAAGTTTTTTGGCTGTTACTATAAAAATTTATATTTTCAAATTTTTCTAAGCTTTAAATTGGAAAAAGTGCAAGTTTAAATAACGCAAAACCAGATTTTCAAGGCGTAATTCCCGGCTAGCCATTACTTATGCAAATGTAATAATTACCTGCTCTCGGTTTCCATCATTTCCTTAGTGGGAGATTCCGTGGACATGTTTCGGGTTTTCTGAAATGTTGTATAATTTTTAAAAGCGCTAATTTTGACATTCAAAGGTGTGGCAAAAAACGTTTAAAGGGTATCGTCAGTGCGGCTATTCAAATTAACATACCCTCCTATTCCTGTTTTCCTTCTCGTCGTTTTGATCGATTTCCATCGGCTCTTCCACTTGCTTAGCCCGTGAACTTTTTTCAGACTTTAGGCTAGCCTGGAATATTCAAATTACCACAAATATCTTTAGAAAATGTTTTTTACGATTATTTCGATACTTGAGTGGAAAACTTACGCAATTCTCAAAATAATCCAACAGCGGCATCCGGAACCGTGAGCGCAAATCGTCGTAGCGGATGCTTTGGCGTTCCGGGGTTCTGAAGGTTGAAAATTTAGTTAAAACCTAATAATATTTAGTCATAAAATTTTTGTAAAACTTTGATGTTGATGTTATTGAAAACTCAATTAAATCACTTACCTCCCCTTCTTCTTGACCGTAATCACCCATAGACGATCGCCGGTCAGGCCTTTTCCACGGCCTTCTTCGAGAGGTCCGTCGACTTCCACTTCTTCGGGCACCTAAATTGAGCATCATTATCTTGTTAATATGCTTTCATATCTAAAAATTGAGTTACATAATTTAATACCCACCGTAATCTCCTCGTCCGTTAGCGCTAGCATATCCCGCGGAACCCAGGTTTCTCTGCAAAAATAAAGTGAACCAGGGTAGAAAAACCGCTTCGCGACTTTTCAACCCTGGCCCCGTCTCGGACCCCATACTATTCTGCCCTTTGCATAATTGTCCTCCATTCTGAAGACAAAAAAAAAATGAAAAACAACCGTTTCTGCCTCTTTATATAGGCGAACACCCACTTACGCCCGATGCTAATTATTCCTAACAAAGAGCTTTTTACAAAAACCTAAATTTAATAGCTAAAATGGTTAGTTTTTCAAAATCTGATATGTGTGCAGTCATCTCCAGACCATTACGCACCTAACGACATATCATACGTAGCCTAATACCCGTCCCTTCTTGAGATATCCTCCGGACAGACAGACGGAAGTGGATGCAAAGTGGCACACACACACAGACACACACACAGACACTATTTTTTTATATATAGTAGGATTTTTGGCGCAGTTGCGACATCACGAATATATTTTTTAATTAGTGATGTATCACGTGGTAATAAATCTAATTCTCCGTTTAATAGTTGAAACCTACTCCCAATCCACCAGCGCAAATTCCACCATTTTCCCCTTGGCATCCGGGCGTTTTTCGGTTTTTATGATGCGCTGGATGATCCAATCCTCATTTTTCATCGTTTAGTCTGAAGCCACAGTATTTATGAAGGTTTTAAAAAGCAAAAAATGACAAATAATTGGGAACCAGGGTTGAAAAGCCGCTCCGCGGCTTTTCACCCCTGGCCCTCGTCTAGGTACGATCACAAAAATACTTTGCATATTCTACCCAAATCCCGCTGACAAAAATGAAAAATCTCCTCTGTAGCCTGATTTTATAGGCAATATCCACTTCCGGTGCATGCAAATTTTGCCTAACAAAGGTCCTTTCACAAAAACCTAAATTTAATGTCGAAAATAGTAAATTTTGAAAAACCTAATAAGTCGGCAGTCATCTCCACTCCATTACGCACCAAATGGCGTATCAAACATGTCGGAAAACTTCTTCCCTGACGCGTTATGAGCGGAACATACATCCGGAAGTGGATGCAAATCTACACACACACACACACACACACACACACACACACACACACACACACACACACACACACACACACACACACACACACACACACACACACACACACACACACACACACACACACACACACACACACACACACACACACACACACACACACACACACACACACACACACACACACACACACACACACACACACACACACACACACACACACACACACACACACACACACACACACACACACACACACACACACACACACACACACACACACACACACACACACACACGCCCACTCGCACACACTACATACACACACACACACACATACACACACACGCCACACACACACACACACACACACACACACACACCACATCACACCACCACACCACCACCTACCACACACACACACACACACACACACACACACACACACACACACACACACACACACACACACACACACACACACACACACACACACACACACACACACACACACACACACACACACACACACACACACACACACACACACACACACACACACACACACACACACACACACACACACACACACACACACACACACACACACACACACACACACACACACACACACACACACACACACACACACACACACACACACACACACACACACACACACACACACACACACACACACACACACACACACACACACACACACACACACACACACACACACACACACACACACACACACACACACACACACACACACACACACACACACACACACACACACACACACACACACACACACACACACACACACACACACACACACACACACACACACACACACACACACACACACACACACACACACACACACACACACACACACACACACACACACACACACACACACACACACACACACACACACACACACACACACACACACACACACACACACACACACACACACACACACACACACACACACACACACACACACACACACACACACACACACACACACACACACACACACACACACACACACACACACACACACACACACACACACACACACACACACACACACACACACACACACACACACACACACACACACACACACACACACACACACACACACACACACACACACACACACACACACACACACACACACACACACACACACACACACACACACACACACACACACACACACACACACACACACACACACACACACACACACACACACACACACACACACACACACACACACACACACACACACACACACACACACACACACACACACACACACACACACACACACACACACACACACACACACACACACACACACACACACACACACACACACACACACACACACACACACTATTTTAATAATAATAATTTTTTATATATAGTAGGATAAAGCAAACAAATTTCGGATTCAATGCAAAAACTGAAACAAAAAAAAAAATAATTGCGACCTGAAATCGGCCTTAACAGTTGTGCCAAAACAAAAAAAAATGACAAATAACTTTGAAAAATAAGAAAACGGTAAATTTAAATTTAACACACATCGAAAAACTTCTGTATGGCTCAAAAATCTAGGTATTAACGCAGTTATTGGTCCTGCTATCAAGAAAATCCGATAAATCGAATATAGCCTTAATTCATTAAAATACACTAAAATTGTTAACTTTCATAAAATACGACATTGTTATAAACCTGAAAAACAATGAAAATCGAACCGGGCAGTTTTGCGTTATCGGCCTCACAGACTCGTAAAAACACGCCAAAAATTCGAAAATTCCAGTCTGATTCATGGTTCTTAATTCTACTTTTTTTTGAAACTGCATTGAAGTTATATCCACATCAAAACCACGTACGAATCGTCATAATTCCGGGCCCAAAATGAAGCGGTAGGTCCAGCCATTTGCCCGTCCCAATCGCTATTCAAAGAGGCGCCCAGCAGATACCTTGACTGGGGCGCGGGGACGGTCGCGTCGCGTCCCATTGGATAGCAGCCAGGCTTGAGGGGGAGATGCGTGCCCCAGGCTTTCCCACGCTCCTCGTCGCTTTTTGTACCCGAATTTCGTTGAATCATCCTGAGCGGTAAATCGTGTCCCGGAAATTGAGTCAGGCTCGGTTTTTGGGCTCTAAACTCGGGCTGGAAGGCTGGAAATTGCGCACTATTTTCGTGCGCATATTTCTAAGATTTTTTCACATAGTTAAGCTTATTAATGCATAGCCATAATATTACCAAAAATTAATCAATTACGCAGTGAAATTGAAAAGTATTTATTACGTTTTCCCTCATTTAAAACAGCGAAAAACGGCCATTTTTGGTTTTGTTTACAATGTCCGTTTGATGACCTTAAAATGGCAATATTTTGATACTCTACTTAACAAAATAATATGATATAGCTAGCGAAAATTATATATTTTATCAATAAAATTATTAACCTCAAATTTAAGTATATTTTCTGTCTAAAAGCCAACGAAGTTCGTGAGATTCTTTCTAATATTTCATTCGCCTTATTCATCGCGTTATAATGTCTCTTAACGTTGAATTATAATGTTTTTAGGATTTATTTTGACGTCCTAATCTATTTAAATTATGTAAATTAAATTTTCCACTACCAAGATGATTCTAGGCTACATTAAACGCAGCGATACTTTCAGAATCTTACAAACGCGTTTGACGTTTTTTATACATGTTAGTACTTTTCGTATTTCACGAACTTTTGCGACTTCTGTGTCTAAATTACAACCAAATTATTATCGCCAATTTTCAGTAATTTTCCATGGATCATCCACCACAACAACCACCCACCCAGCAACGAAAGGTCCCACCGCGACCGAATCGGATCGATGCCGTCGTGTAAGTCGGAATATAGAAATTCATATAACGAAATTGAACTTGGATTCATCAATTAATAATGCTAGCAATAATTAAGACATAAACGTATCCCTATCATAAAAATTACAGTAACCAACTCCACCAACAACAACAACACCAACAACCGACCAGTTCTGGCGCAGGGTCGCTGAGTTTTGTAAGTTCAAAATTCCAACAAAAATAAAGTTATTTTAGTGTATGGAATGTGCCGAGGAGGGGATATGCTTGGATGGGTTGTGTCAGGTAATAGAAGATGGAGAGAGAGACAGAGAGAGAGAGAGAGAGAGAGAGAGAGAGAGAGAGAGTGAGAGAGAAAAGAGCGAGATAGAGATAGAGATAGAGAGAGGGAGAGAGATAGTGAGACGAGAGAGAGATGGAGAGTGAGAGTGAGAGAGAGAGAGAGAGAGAGAGAGAGAGAGAGAGAGAGAGAGAGAGAGAGTGAGAGGGAGAGAGAGTTGCCAAATTTGGCAAATTAAGCTGATTTTAGCAATGCCGCGGCCTAACTGGCGGTCTCCAAATTATGCTCTCCAACAGTATGGCCGGAACATTGGCCGGAGATGCTTGTCTTTGCTGCAAACGTCATGTCACTAACATCAAGTCCGCAGTGGTTTGCGTGGGATGCAAAAAGTGAGTTGTTAGAAGGGACCATGAAGATAAAAAAATACCGCAAATTCCCTAAAACATTCGAATCGTCAAAACCTAAAACCGGATTACCGTACAGCAACGAGGCTAAAAAACCAACTAGAATATCTTAAACCCTTCAGATTCACGCACTTCGAGTGTGACCCGATGGGGATGCTCTCGCCAAAAGACTACAAATGCAAGGGATGCTCGAAATATCCTTTGGTGAGTCATTCAACATATAGCTAAACCCATTTACTTTCTAATCTAATCAACATATAATTAAATAGTTGCGAAAATCAATAGGAAAATGCGAAATAGATGCCCAGAATCATCGAAGAATAGACGAAAAACACAGAAAGTCAAAATGATTGGAAGCAGGAATATCTAAAAATCGACTAAAAATGACCTTAAAATGCAAAAGTAAATGAAGAGCCAGACGATCGAAAACTAGCGAAAAATCGTAGGCGAGGTTTTGGTCACATTCACAGCCCCCAACGCCTGAAACACAAAAGACGCCGTGAAACATGTTTCGATTTTCGATTCTCGATAGAAATGGGAGCGCCTGGGAGGTGATTTGGCGCCTTTTTTGCATCTGCGGTATACCATTAGTGTCGGAACTGTAGTGAGCCTGGCTAGGAATTGTAATTTAAATTTTTAGGCCGAATTTTGAACGTGACTTGCTATTTTTATTTTTCTATGAATTTAATTTAAAAAATTAAATTTTTGCAAATTATTGAATTTAATTTTAAATTTTTCAATGGTTTTTATAAAACTATTAAAAAGCTTATATTTTAGGTAGCCGATCGTCTGCTCTCCTCATCATCCAACGAACCGACCAGCCCATTCGTCACCACACCCCAGCAACCGGTCAGGAATTAATTTTTAATATCTCTATATTGAATAATATTCAGTCAATGCCGGAGAATCGACTTGCTGAAGAATTCACGGCGGCCGTCACTTCGCATCAAGACCTTCAGCGAGTACCCGAAGATTTGTATCAACTTCCGGCGCCCGTTTCGAGGAATCAGACGCAAAGTGAGCCGAATCCTGGTGGGTTATAAATTATTTAACTAGATTATTCTTGTAAACTCAGCTCCGTTTAAGCTAATCGACAGGGCAAGCTGGCGGGGATTATTTGGGAATTTTTAGCTAAAAAACTATTTTTAACGATTATTTTCTAGATCACCCCGGCCCCTCGCCAAGCGCCGAATCGGAAAGCGCCCGAGCTTCGCCCTTCTTCCAGCCGAGCGACGACGAGGAGGAGTTCAAACCGCCTGGGTATGATTACACTCTTAGATCAACAAAATAGAGAGACAGCCGATTTAAGTTAGCATCAAACTTTATATAGCGTAGCCGATTGAATTTTTGCCATGGTAGATGAGGTACTGAACTACACGGGCTGTTTATCCCCCTTAAAGGGCACGTTCAGGGACGTTTTTTTGGAAAAAAGCAAAGATTTTTGCCGCGGCCGGGGGTCGAACCCGGGCTCCCCGCTCGGGAGGCGCGGATGGATACCAGTCAGCCACAGCTACAACCTGGCTAAGGGTCGAGGGGCGCCCCACGCCACAAAGGAGGGGAATGGCCTGTCACAGCACGGGCAGGCAGTGCGCGCGGTCCCTACGTCCATAGGGTGTACACGTTGGGACGAGTACACCGCCCCTCCCTGAACGTGCGCTTTAAAAGAATGTATTTTCAGCTCACGTACCTATCAACCACGAGGTCGTGGCCGTGGCAGAGGAAGTAGAGGAAAGAAACCGGGAAGTAGAGGAGGAGGAACTGCGGGATTGTCGACTATCGACTTAATGAAGACGCGCACCGGAGGACAGCCACCCAGTGGAATTTATGGAGATAAACTTGGACAGGTTGGTAGTTTTGAATTGCACTTACGTAGGAGGATAGACACGGTTGGGGAGACAGAGAGTGACAGAGTGTGAGAGAGAGTGTGAGAGTGAGATAGAGAGAAAAAGAGAAAGAGAGAGAGAGAGAGAGAGAGAGAGAGAGAGAGAGACTGAGAGAGAAAAGTAAGAGTGGAGGGTAAGTATTCAAATTTAGGGAACGCGCGGAAAGCGCGGAAAGGGCAGCCGAGGCTCCTATGGCGCCCGCGGAAGTAAGGGCAAAGGAACCCGAGGAAGAAGAGGAAGGTTTGTCACTTTTCGATTTGGGAAAACTGTTTTTCGATAATTTTGGAGCCCCATTTTATAGAGCATCAAAAATATACTTGGCTATTTAATTGCAACGTCAGTGGCAAAAGATAAAAAAAAAAGTTATGGAAGAAAAACCTCTCGAAAATTCGATTTATAAGTTATTTTGCGATATTTTAATGATTTTTCGAGAGTCATAGGGAATTACGAAAGTTCCTACCCACCTTTTGAGTGTGAATGTCGATTTAAGTGTGCCGAATAACGAAGCCACTTAGTTCTCTTTGATTTCTAGAGGCCAATTAGCAGCGGGTGCCCTCTCTGGGAATGTGATGCAACATCTCACCGGCATGAGCTTCACCGCTACTCGCGAAGTTGATGAGGTTTGTCGTTTAACATAATTTAATTTAATTCGTTCGTATATAAATTGTAATATTTGGCCAAAACTCGCCTAAATTTAGTCGAGTAGACTGGAAAAAGAAATCGTGAAAAATGATGTTGGCGTTGGAAATTGATTTTGCAATTAACAAAAGGATCAATTTTGCTGGAGCACGGCATCTCAGGGGCCGCAATTACGACATGTAATTCCGGGGCTCTTTTGGAGCAAAAATACTAAGGGGAAAATCTTTGATGGCTTATAACTTTTTACCTACAGCGTAATTTGAAAAAGTCGATGTCCAGATTTGTAGAACAAAATGCGCTTTTTCGAATGTGACCAAATAGAAAGAAAACTGAATTCAAAACTGAATTGGACCAAGGCTTTGAAATCTCCGGTTTTAGACTAGAGTTTGGTTCAAAACGGGGTGCATTGGAGCGTCGCGTAGCCGCATTCTCCGTGCAAATTCCCCATTTTTCGTTGCGGCCCAAACAATTGCTTGAGTTGCCGTGGGAGTAGCAAAAAGGCACAATGGCAAAATGCCTTTCCTTATCACCCGACAAAATCTGCTCCAGTGCCCGCTGAGAAAATGGGGGCCAGAAAAAGGGGGCGATTCCCCGGAGGGCGATGGGAACATATCAAAAAGGCACGGATTATTCTCGGGCAACCATCTATTTTTATAATTTCCTGATGAGGCTTCTGATACATTGTAGTGGTAACAAGATCAGAACACTGACGGTCAGGTTTTCGCATCTATCCGATGGATCAGAAAATTCTTACCTTATCTGGGACTTTAAATCCAAATTTTGTTAAATTTTGGTGGTCGCGGGAAATTTCGAGAAAAGCTATAAGAAAAGTTTATAGACTTGCGTTCCCTGTCCATTTTATTTCCGGAAAATCTCAGCTTTATTTTGCTCTTATGGCCCGTCGGGAAACGTTTTTTTTGCATTAGATTCGAAGAAAAAAAACAATCACAACAATTGCATCGATCTGTTGGGCGCACGGCCGGAAAGTGGCTTTTCGATTCAAAGTATTTTACATACCCTCTAATCTAGCTATTTTTCGTTGTATGTTGAAGGTCCCGATAGTGAAAATCCTGACAGTCCAGAGGCCGACAGGCCAAAATTCTGGCTGTCGGACTTTTTGTTTGTCGGGGTTTTGGGTGTCGGGATTGTAGCTGTCGGGATTCGAATGGCACGAGTTTGACGGTTGCTATCTAGGCTGTTGTGGGTATTATCAAGCATTCCATATTCAGCCAAATACCCCCCATTTGCAGCAACTGCTCGAAGAGTTCGAAGAAAAGCAAGAGACTACGATGGAATACGTCCGTACGGCGCTGGTGTGCCCAGTGAACGACGAATTCCTGAGCAAGGCTATCATTTGTTTGATCTGTGGAAGTACGGGAAAGGGAGAAGAAGCTTCATTTATCTGCTGCGCCAATTGCGCCCAGGCCTACCATACCTACTGCGTTGGTGTCCATGAGAAGGTAAGCTTTTTAAAAAACCGCCAGTTTCTTACCGTAAAAATCTAAATCCTTAATTCCCTTAATTTAACTTGAATTTAAATTCCTTAATTCTAAAAATATAATTCTTTAACAAGAATTTTCATATCGTAATCTGTTTAGATTCGCGAAACACACGTGAATCGCGGATGGCGCTGCCTGGATTGCTCGATTTGTGAGGGATGTGGTGATGGGAAGGATGAGAGCAAGCTGTTGCTCTGTGACGAGTGCGATACTTCTTACCATATTTACTGTCTGGATCCGCCGCTTCAGGTCGGTTTTTAAGATTTAACGAGGACGGACAAAGTGAATCTATGGATGCGATCCGATCGACACTTTACTGCAGTTCTCTGCCTTTTTGCGCGGTAAAATCGAGCAAAAAACGTACTCAACTAAAGTTCAGCTACATTTTCAGAAAATCCCCGACGGCCCATGGCGCTGCAAGTACTGCTCGAAGTGCAGGAGATGTAATCTGCCCGTGCAGACAATGTCGGAGCTGACGAAGGAGGGACTGTGCCATGCTTGTTCCTCCTTGAGGAAGTGTACCAGATGCAAGAAGTTATACCAGGTGGGTTCATCGCGCTCTCGCTCACTCTTACTCTTGATCTCTCACTCTCTCGCCCTCTCCCTCCCTCTCTCTCTCTCTCTCTCTCTCTCTCCCTTTCTCTCTATCTCTCTCGTTCTCTCTCGATATCGCTAGTTGTGCTCCAGTTTTCTCTCGGTCTCTAACTATGGCACTCATTCTCTCTCAACTCTCTCTCTCTCTCTCTCTCTCTCTCTCTCTCTCTCTCTCGCTTTCGCTCTCTCTCTCTCTCGCCATATCAGGGATCATTTTGTTAAAAAATTTCCGCGTCCTGAATATTCTATAGATTTTGCCTTCACAGCCCCTTTAAACCCCCAAATTTCAGCTGAATGAGCCTCTAATCCACTGTGACAATTGCAATCGATGGTTCCACGGTCGTTGCGAGGGCTTATTCTCCACAGAAGACCTCGACAACGCAGTCACGAATCGCATGAAATGTATAGACTGTCGGCCAATGTCTCGATACTACGGCCAATCATACGGTGCCCAGGGCCAGCAAATGCTCGTCGTCGATAATGTCATATTGCATCGAGAAGCCGAAGAAATCCTGAAGTCCCCGTTTGTACCCCCGCAATTCCGGCCGGATCATACGCCGGGGCCCGCGCAGAGGAGCGGATCGTTTGATTGTGAGTTTTGGGAATCCAAAAATACCTCGAAAAATCTATTAAATGCGAGGATACCTCAAGTTTTAACTTCTTAGCTTATAAAATTCAACTTTTCGGTGTTTTTGGGTGTTTTGACGTTTAAAAGCAACATGAATTTTTGGAATTAAAAGCGTAAACTTAAAAATTTATGAAATTATCAAAAAATAAGAAAGAAGAAAAAAGAAAGCAAGGAAGTATGCAAATTAAAATAAAACCTTATGATGTTTAAAAAATTCAATATTTTTGTGCTATTTTTAGAGAAAATTAGAAAATTTTTTACTGTAAAACATTTAAATTATATTAAGATTTAGATTAAATTTGGTAACGTTGTGTAAATTTAAATTAATGTTATTCTACAATTTTATCTATAGATATAATTTAAAAAATCGGACCCAAATTAAACCGGTGATCTTTCTGCGTATTCAATAATTACAAAATCTGATCAACAAACGTTTATTAAGTTCCCAATTTTAAAACCGAACAACTCTCAAAGCATTCTAAAGTTTTAAAATCTTAGAAGTGTAATAAAAATTTTATATTTAGCATTAACAATTACTTCGTTGAAATTACTTACCTAGGAAAAATTAACATGTTTAAAAACAAGATTGCCACAGTTGTATCAAATGCTTTGTTCTTTAAAAAGCCTCAAAGCACCTATTAAAACAACTATTAAAATGTTAAATCTAGGTTTTGAAAGCGTCTAACTTGGTAAATTTCGGCCTTTAAACATGCCAAAAAACTTACCGACCAAAATGAGCTTATGGCTTCCAAATAATACTAGATTTTTTAATATTACGGTGGTAAATTATATCTCTCTTTTTGCAGTCTGGAGCAACGTAGACGACGACTACCACGAGGAGGTTGAGGTGCCGACTAGTGGGCGTGGCCGTGGAAGGGGAGGCGGAAGGGGGCGTGTCCTACGTCTCGGTGTCGGAGGGTTTATGGTTCGAAACCCAAAGAACAAGCAATCATTCGATGATGATGATGGGGAAGAGAAGAAGATGAAGAAACCGAGGAAACCGAGAAGGACTTTCCTCGAAGATGCATACCCTCCCAATATCCAGGAGGGATTTTTTTGGATTCCCGGGAGTCGAGGGCAAGCATTTGATCGATGTTCATGTGAGTTTTTGAATATTTAAAGCGATTGGCAAGGCACGATGCTGATGATTTTTTTATCGCGGATTTTACACATAATACCGACAAGCTAAAATCCCGACACTTAAAATCCCGACTAGGCAAAATACCGACTTCCGAACCCCGACACACGAAGTCTGTCGGTATTTGGATCGTCGGTATTTTGCCAAGTCGGCATTTTGACCCGTCGGTATTTGGCATGATGGATCTGAATGTCGGTATTTTTAGGCGTCGTCATAGTTTGAAGATTTTCCTAGCGTTGACACCACATAACCTAAAACATACCGACATTGCAAATACCGAAAACCCAATTCCGCGCGGACAAAATTTTGACGCAAAAAAGCCCAACAAGAAATGCCGACAATCATTAATCGAAAAGCGAAAATTTCGATACATGAAACCTAATAGCTAGGCCGTCGGTATCTTGTCGGGAATCTGAATGTCGGTATTTTGGCTTTTCTGTCAGCTTTAATAGAAAGGCAGTTGGCAGCCACGTTAACGATGATTTTTCACTATGGATTTTGGCCATATCTTCGAAAAAATACCGACATCTGAAATCACGACCCGAGAACATCGCGACAACCAGAAAATCCCGACAGCCACAAATTCGAAAGGCTAACACCCTGACGGCCCACGCCTAGCCAATCAGCCATCCTGCATTTCGGGCATTTAGTTGTCGGTATTATGGCTATCGGCACTTTAAAAATACTTCCTCTAATAAAATTAAAATTCTAGGTCGAAGAACCCCGGCTGAACGAGTATACCGTAACCGGACAACCACTGAAGGCCGAGAGCGGAATGCTGAGCGCCGAACAGACGCTGCAGTTGCAGCACAACATTGATGGCAAGTTTTGGAAAGGGTTTTTGCTCAACCGAAAACTTGAAAAAATTAACTATATGTTTTTAAAAGATTAAGTCTTTCATAAAAATTTCAAAAATTGATTAAGAATTCGATCATTGCGTTTTTCAGAAGAAGGCGTCCTCGAAAACTTCAACTTCGACAGCGTCGACGATTTGGAGGAGGATTTCGACTTTGACCTGTTGTTGGAAGAATTTGATCAGGAAGAAGATACACAGACAGAAGATGGAATTGCCGAGGATCTGAAGGACGCGTTCGATTTAGTGAAGACCGAGATCAAGAGCGAGACGGCCAGCCAGCCTGGACCATCCACTTCTTCGGCATCTGCCCCAGATCCCAGTCAGCAGCCGTTGGGGTGAGTTTTAAAGGGATTGACAAGGGATGATTACGGATTTTTATCCTGCGAAACGCAACGCATTATCTGGTCATTAGATTGCGTAATGGATTACATCTTCTTTGCGGTAACCAAGCGGCAGATGCGCTGCGTATCGCGACCGCCGGATTAAAGACACTAGCAAGGCAGAATATTTTTCTTTTTCCTTTAAATTTTTGAAGAATTTTTTAAATTTTTATTGCTTTAAATATAGTTAAAACTTACTAACAACATTGTAAAAACACTTTATATTTGATTACTAGGTCAACCGGGACCGCAAGGAAAAAAATTGGTTCTCCCCCCGGGAATAATCCCCCCGCGAATCCTAAAGAACCAATAAATCTTACACCGCGACACGCGACGCTCACCCCACTTGAGCACGAGAAAGGTATAGCAATCCATTACGCAGTAGGATGACCGGCGTTTGCGTTGCGTGTCGCGCGTGTCACGGCGAGCAGATAACAGCATCCCAACAAAATTCAGAAACCTAACGATTACGCAATAGCAATTCTGCTTTGCGTTTCGCGGACTCAAAAAGTCTTAAAAATCCTTATGACCTTAAAACTAAAGCGTCTTTTAAATCCACAAACTTTCAGCCCTACCACCTTCGCCCGGTCCCTAAATCCCGCCCTCAGCCGCTCCTCCTCCCAGCTCGAGATGTCGGAACGAATCCAGAATGCGGCTACAGAGAGGTGAGTATCGGGTGGGGGGAACTTAAAATCAATTCGCGGATAGTCACCACACATTTAGGTGGGAAGAGGATGAACCGCTCGGGGATAAGGCTACCAAAGCTGCCGTTCTGTATGTCAACATCAACTTCCCGAATCTGAAGGCCAAGTATCCAGAGTGGAATGATCGCGTCAAGTATATACAAAAGTAAGTGTGTTTATGTATTAAAGGTTATATATAAATTTATACCATTTTTATGGCGTGTAAAATAGCTACAGTACGGTCGTAAACGCATTTTTAGACAATGGCGAATCCTGAGTAGCGAGGAGCGCAAAAAATACGTCGAGATGGCCAGGGAAAATAGGCAGCAGCGCGGAAAGGTATGGAAAAACTATAAGCACTTATTAAAGGGAGTAGAAGAAAAATATTTTACCAAAATTCATTGATTTTTTTACTTGCAGGCCCCTTTAAAATCCTATATATTGGAATTTTCGTAAGCGAGATAAAGAGTGAGAGAGTGGACAGATGGAGCAAGCGAGATAGAGAGCGAGAGAGAGGGAGAGAGAGAGGGAAAGAGGGCAGAGAGTGAGTGAGAGAGCGAGAGAGAAAGCGAGAGAGAGGGAGGGTTGGTGTATGAGAGAGAGGGGGATAGAGAGAGAGAACGAGTGAGAGAGGGAGAGAGGGAGATAGTTAGAGAGAGAGATAAGACGAGATAAACGCTGACTTTCAATCAATCACACAAAAATGATACATTAAGATTTGGATTCTAGTGCGTTATTTTCCTGCCTGAAGCCCCTTTAAAACCCAAAAATCCATGTTTAAGGCAATCGGCTCAATTCCTAAATTTTAGGTACCCCGCCAGAAGCGCGTGCAATCCACAAATTCGACAAATTCGACCTCGCTGGATAGTCCGACCCTTTCCACCCCTCCATTGGGCCACGGTTTCCCACCTCAAGCCCTCGGACCTCAAGGCTTCCACCCAATGGCCCCAGGCCAAATGATGCCGGAAGGAATGGCTCCGCCCCCTGGCCCTCCAGTCCACCATCCACGACCTCCCGTATCTGGAGAAGTCGTGAGAGCTTATGCCATGCTACGTGATCTGGTGTATCGTCATGACGTCCAAAAGCACAGAATTGGAGAGGAATTGGCCAATCTGGAACGTCATCGGGAAGCCATTGTCAATAAGCGGGAGGAGCTGATCGAGATCCCGATGCCGCAGAGACTTTCGAGTTTACCGGAAGAAGAGAGGGCACAGTATGAACAGTTTGGGGTAAGGCTTTTGAAAATAATTGTATGGAATACTTATAATAGCTTTAAACCACTTTTTTAAAATTTAATTCCATGTTTTAAGGAACGAATCACTACCGTACAGCAAGACAAGGAAAAAGTGGAAGAAGAGCTTCAGAAGTCGATCGGACAGCTAAATGAATTGGTGCAGAAGAGCGGAATACCAAGGGAAATCCTGAACCAATATGCCCAAGGGTCGGCACTGCAGGAGAAGCTGATGGCTGGAAGACAGGTAAGGATATTTCATTTTTTTCAACGATATTAGTACCCTTGCGTGGAATGGAGATGGAGCAAAGAATCCATTTTGTAAACCTTAACGTTATCGTATCGGAATCTAAAGTCCAAATTTGAAATTTTTACTTTACAAGCTATCAGTTAAAAATTTAAAATTAGAAAATGTTATAAAATTATTAAATCTATTTATTAAAAACCTAAGATTTTGTAATTTCATGAACTAGAAAAACGTACAAAAACTTCTTAAAAACGACTTTTTCAAAATTTGAACTCCGTTTTAAACGCATAATTTTACAAATTTAAATCATATCAGGCGTCAAAATAAATTTTGAAACGCTTAAAAATCTCATATATGTATTAAATTAGGGAAAAAACGACGTGAATTCTTAATTTTAAAATTCTAAAAATATCTCAAAGAAACAATTTGAATATTTGATTTTTTTCGTCACATTTTGCCAATTTCAGCTACCACCCGGCCACATGGGCCACTTCAGGGATGCCGCCACCGGAAATGGGGCCGGAGGGCCAGCTCATACCTAGGCCTCCACCAAGATTCCTGCGTACCCCATGGCTGGGTACAGGGAAGGGGTCAAATGCTTTACGAGAGGATCGTCAGTCCGGAGGGAGAGCCGTCCTATGAATGTCTTGATGATATGCTGTCCCATGTATCCATTCAAATTGACGGTCATCCACAGCCGCACTTGTTGAAGGTGAGTTTCTTCCTGGAGCTGGGTAACTGTCAAGCTTCTTCTAAGGGATAGGATGTCAAGATTCACAATTTGGAATCAGGAACCGATCTATTAATGCGTAATTTACGTCGTTTTAGCGTCTGCTCGAAAACCCCTCTACCGGCTCGGGCATGGGCCCGCCGGGTATGATGATTCCGGGAAGACCTGGACTTGTCCCCGGAGTCCCCCATCAACCACTACCTCATTTCCCGAACGCCGCTGCTGATCTCGAGCCACCCAAGCCGAAGAAGAAGGTAAGGAAAGTGAACATTTATAAACAGGCATCCAAGGGAAAGAGAGGGAGGGGGGAGGGGGGGGGGGGGGGGGGGAAGGGGGGGGGGGGGGGGGGGAAGGGGGGAGGGGGGGGGGGGGGGAAGGAGGGGAAAAGAGGGGGGGGGGGGGGGGGGGGAAGGAGGGGAAAGAGGGGGGGGGGGGGGGGGGGGGGGGGGGGGGGGGGGGGGGGGGGGGGGGGGGGGGAAGTTATTTTAATCACTTTTTTTAGCGCACCGGCATCAAGAAAACGGGCTCCGTCGCCGGCAACAATGAGTACGACTTGATGCTCAAGCGAATTGGTGCTCATCTCCAGCACCAAGCCTTCCCAAGGCGGGCACTCGAAAGTGTACAGGTTTGTGAATTGTTAAGCCTGAAATTTAGGACTTTAAAACGTAATTTTTTTTGAATTTTCGAAGCTAAAAGTTTTTTTGAACAGTTTTGGTCCCCGCAAATCTTTAACTCGGTGGAGTTTTGCCTTAAGAGTTCCTTTAAAACGCAATTTTAACTAGTTGTTGCTTTTTTAGAGTCGCGGCATGGGCCACCTGATCGAGCCGGGACTTACGGAACTTCCGGAAAGACTGAAGGGCTCGGAGTCTTCGCTGGAGCATATCCGAAACCCGGCCAAGACCCCAGATCCGCATCCTTTGGAAGGAGAGATCTTCGCCGAGACCAAGTTCCCGTTCACTGATGATATCTTCGTGGCGGGGCCGCCAGGATATTATCCACCGGCTAATAGCAGTTTGGTGATGGCTGCTGATGTGGAGGCGTTACTGTAGGTTTCCAGAATATACCTAAATTTATGGCTGGTTGGTATCCGGTAGCTTCCCGGTCCACTTCCGGTCTGAATCCTGTTAAAACCCTACGACACCCTCCTAATTACAGTGCCAGCGACGCCACCCCGTGTGAGATCATCTACGACGAGGTCGACCTGGCCGATGGGGTCAGTCGATGGCAACCCATGAAGATTCTGACACGAGCGGTGCCGAGGAAGCCAACTGATCTGTATCTCCGGACGCAGATACGGCTTCCGGATAGTCCATTACCGCCTAGGGAGCCGAGGAGGAAGGACTTTATGCAGGTCAGCTTCTCTCTCCCTCTCTCTCTCTCTCTCTCTCTCTCTCCTCTCTCTCTCTCTCTCTCTCTCTCTCTCTCTATTTTCTCTCTCTCTCTCTCACCTTCTCTCCTCTTTCTTTCTCTTTCTTTCTGGTTCTCTGCCTCTCTTGCTATCTATCGTTATCCTCTCCTCCTCCTCTCTCTCTTTCTCTCTTTCTCTCTTTCTTGATCCGTCAAAACCTAGTTTTTTTTCAGAAAGCCGTCCCAAGAGAAGAAGATAGTGATGAGGACGAGATTGAGGTCCAAGTCGATGTGAATGAGGCCGAACTTATGAAGTGGTACTCCACGGTGAAGAGCGAGGTCCCGAAGGAGGCCCACCAGCTGCTGTTCGACAAGTTGGCCGAGTTGTTGACGAATGGGAAGAAGATTGAATATACCATGGATACACCTCCGGAGTCGCCTATTGGTGAGTGAGAGAGGGAGAGCGAGAGCGAGAGAGAGAGAGAGAGAGAAGAGAGAGAGAGAGAAGAGAGAAAGAGCGAGAGAGAGAGAGTGAGCGGAGTGCGAAAACGTGTCTAACCCCTCGATTTCAGAATCCGGCTTCAACCTGGCCACCGTCAAGCAAGAACCAATTGCCCGATGCGGATTTTGCGATAAATCTATGGAGGATTCTTCACCTCGTTCCAACGAGCCCGACGAGTTCTGCACGTACCAGTGCCTCTACCGGAACGCCGACGCCAAGAAGGTCAGAAAAATAAAAGTAGAAAAATTATTTAAAAAATTTGGTAAATTTCTTTAAAAGTCTGATTTTTAGATCCCCTAACGCCTGACCAATGCGCCGACGCCGAAAAATACGTAGATGAGGAAACGTTTGTCCGCCTGAAGCAGTGCTCAGCCGACAACATGGCAAAAGTTGTTCAAGGAAGGGTGAAGCTGGAACAGCCGCAAGCTGACGCGATGCGAGTCCGAGAGGCGCGCAGTGTCTCGGTTGATGAAGCCAGTGCAAAGAGGGGGAATATGTCCAGGTGAGTCCTCACGGTTTTAAAGGACCTGGAAAGCTTGGAATCTTGCTCTTTACACCTTCCAAAATCGAAAATCTGAAATCCTGTCAGGGAGCGCTGACGCGTGCGGTTGCGTTGCGTACGTACCTATGCGTACGCGTGCGGCCGCGCTGCGTGTGCGGTTCTTGCTTTCATATCGTAATCTGGAGCCGGACTTGCTCAAAGAATTTTTAAGGTTTTTGCGTTTTCCTCAACCTTCGTGACAAAAAATGCTCTCTGTTGGCTTGCCACCGTTTCTATTGCCCGTTAAAGGGAACGAGAACCAGGTTTTAAAGGATAAGCCCAAAGCCACAAAATGTGCAGATATTTTTCGTGATTCCAATTCCGATAAGGAGCTTTGCAAGTTGAGCCGAGATTTTTTTAACCCAAAATTTCGTCAAGTAGCCTAGATTTTTGCCTGGTTTGACTTTACACTACGCATTTATCAGGTTTCTAAATAATCTTTGCTAGCCTGGAAATGCAGCAGATAACAAAGACAATAACTACGCCACATCCCCTCTTTGCAGCCAATCCGTGTCTCCGAGCTGCCCACTCCCCAAGTGCCCGACAGTCCATCGGAGCGTCGTGGAGCCCAGCAAGATGGTCGGGGTTGGTCTCCATTTACGGCACAAGTCCGTGAGACGTTCCTCAAGATTGCCCAGCACCGGAAGGTATGTATTTTGACGAATTTTTATCCTTAATACATGATAATATCTTTAATTTTATTTTTGTTTCATTTTTCCAAAACACAATTTTGAAAGAGTCATTGAATCAGATAAATGTCGCTTTTGCAGGAAACATTGCAGGAACTGGCGCGCTACGTTCCGAAAATGGGCATCATTAACTCGCATATACCCTACGATCGGGACCAGCGACAATGCCAATTCTGTGGACAGATCGGGGATGCTGAACCGACGTATCAGGTGAGCAAATTAGCTCTAAAGCGATTTTTCTCTCTATCTCTCTTTCTCGCTCTCTCCGCTCTCTCTCTGTCTCTCTCGCTCTCTCTATCTCTCTCTCGCTCTCGCTCTGTCTGTCTCTCTGACCCTCGCTGACTCTCACTCTCTCGCTCACGCTCTCTCACTCCCTCTCACTCCCTCTTACTCTCTCACGCTCTCTCTCTCTCAGTCTCTCTCTATCTCTTCGCTCTATATCTGCTCTAGCTCTGCCTATGTCTCTCTATCTCGCTTCCTTTCACTCTCTATCTCTCTCTCCCTCTCTCTCTCGCTCTCTCTCGCTCTCTCACTCGCTCCTCTCTACCTCTTGCTCTCTCTCTCTTTCTCTCTCTCTCTCTTTCTCTAATCCAATCTTTTCCAGGGCCGTCTCCTGAACGTCGATTGCGGCGTCTGGGTCCACGTTAACTGTGCCCTATGGAGTGCCGAGGTCTTCGAATCCCCTCAAACTGGCTCACTCTCCCATGTCCAAAAAGCGATCGAACGATCACGACAAGTCCGTTGCGAGAAATGTGCGCACCCTGGGGCTTCTCTCGTTTGTCACAAAGCTGAGTGCCAATCCACCTATCATCTCGCATGCGCCAGGAGTATGCCGGGCAGCAAGTTCCTGAAAGATCGGGTGGGTTATTCAGCGAATTTTATTCTTTTTAAAGGTACTGGAGAACGGAAAAAACGTGAAAACATTTGCAATGTAATTTTTGAGATTTGGCTCTAATTTTACGAATTCTAAAGGGACCGGAAAATCGGCACATCATCAAAATTTCAAAAAAATCCATACAAATAGTTATTTTTGAAAGTTTTTTGAAGAATAGTTTTTAAAGGCATAGCAACTTAAAAACTAGGTCGAAAATCTATGAAAACCGCTATAAATAATTTTTCCAGTCATTCATCTGCCACCGTCATCAAGAAGTCACAAACGACGTGCTGGTCACCACGTACGAGTCGTTGAGAAGGCTCTATGTGGACAGGGACGAGAACCTGCTGCTGGCCAAGTTATATGATGGAGATGTTGATGCTCCAAAGATGGTGCTCAAGATTGGGGCGTTGACGTTGCACTCCATTGGACAGTTGTTGCCCGAGCAGCTCAAGGGTAAGGATTTTTTGGGCTATTGGAACTTTTAAGGGAACTTGAAAGTTGCGATCTCGCTTTAGGGAATTTTGGGAAAATTTTTCTACCAAGTATTGCCATTTAAAGGGCCCTTGAAGACAAAATCTTTAACTTTTGGACGGTCTTCAAACAACGTACAATTTAGCGGAGCTTTTAAAGGGACTGTTCGACGTAGATTCTTCCAAAAAACGAATTCAATACGAAGGGACATTTCTTTCGACATGGTGCGTCGGATTCGTTCCTTAAAGAAACGGGCAAGGCATAGCTAGGGATCATTTTGGCAAAAAATCTAGCGGTCACAGTCCCTTTAAAAATATCCGGCTGAACGCGTGCGCTTCTGCGTTGCGTATGGCTAAAAATTGACTAAAACGGTCCCAGAGTCACGTAGAGACTACGACACGCAACGAGTTCACCTTCAGCCAAAAATATTTCTGTCTCAGCACCTTAAAAGCATATCGCACTGCTGAAAGTGCGTGCGGTTACGTAGTGTAGCGTAGTCTCTTGCCGCAACCCGACGGCAACGCGTTCACTGGGACTGGGACAAGAGGACCAACTAATGTAAATTTTCAGCATTCCACAACACGGAGTACATCTACCCTGTTGGCTACCACGCGAGTCGTCTCTTCTACTTCCCGCCCACCTCCCAGGACTTTAGCTCTGTCCTCTACCGTATCGAGTACACCTGCGAGATCAAGGAGAAAGAGAAGAAGCCGAACTTCGAGGTCCGACTCTGCTATACGTCGCAACACAATCAACTCGTCGAGCAAACCATCGGAACTGGAGCAACAGCCTTCGATGCTTGGCTCCCCGCGCTCAAGCTCGTGAAAATAGCTCGAGACAGGATGAGTTCGGGCGAGGTTTTGGGCCACGGGAGGATTGCTCAATATTTGAAGTTTTCCCCATTGGCCCTATCAGGCGAGACGTTATTTGGATTGGAAGGAATCGGCTATTTCAAGATTTACGAGAGCTTGCCTGGGGTGGATAGTCTGTATACGTATACCTTTCGCCATGGAGGGGCACCTATCCTCGAGCTCCCGCTAGCTGAGAATCCATCCGGATGCGCGAGGACGGAGCCCCATTTTCGGACACTCATCAAGAAACATAGGAGTAAACCAATGCCCCTGACTTCGACGGAGACTAGGGATCAGGTGGGATTTTTGAGGATTTTAAACCTTAATTTAAATTTGGTACTTTTTGCATTATCAGGGGACGGAACTTTTTTTTACTGATCGGTTCCCAGAAATACCTTGTAACGCAATAGTAGGGATTTTAATAATTGATTAAGCAAAATTTAACTATTTCCAAGCGGAAAAACATTTAAAAACTTGTTTAAACTGTGATGTTTTTACGTTTAAAAATAGTAAAATGGTTGAAAAATACTTCATGGATTTCTATTAGAAAAATTGGACACTAAAAAATTGGTTGCTGTCCCTTGAAACCCCCTCCCCCCGATAATGCACAGGAATCAACGATTTTACTGGGAAGTCCTAATTCTAAAGTCTATTTTTGGCTATTTTATTTGTTTTTTTCGCTTTTACCGACGTAAACCAGCTATAAAAGCTGCATAAGAAAAAAAGCCTAAAAAGCATAGTTTCAGGCAGCGTTATTTAGCATAATCTATTGTTTTTAATTTAGCAATTTAGCAATTCCCTCTTCAAAACACAAAAAGACTCCCCAATTTTCAGCCAGGAACCTCCGCCGGAACGTCACGTAGCGGTCGTGCTCGGTGCTCAGCCCGCGGAGCCGGAACCTACGACTCTGAGCTGCAAGCGGCCGAGATGCAGAGAATCTGGACGGCAAGTGGAATCAGCGCCGAATGGGTGGCCGCGATGAAATTCGGAATGGGCGAGCCGACGAGCAATGCGGCCATTTTCTCGGCTTACCAGACGATGAAGAAGGAATGGAAGAACACCGTGTATTTGGCTAGGTAATTACGATACTTTACTTACCTTTAATCTACCGATCTAGTTAAAGGGGCTCCGAAATCTGGTCCACGGCCCCTGCTGTGATTCCTGGCAAATTGCCAGATGCGGCCGCAACGCGACCGCGCCGCATGGTCTTTTGCCCCCGTTTGGACCCGAAAACTCTTGAATTTAAAAATTCTGATGCTATTTTTGGAATCTTCACCGAATTTTGATCATTCCAGACTTTTAAATTATGAAAATTGACCAGAGAATCACCGAGATCGAGAGATTGGGTGTCTTACAAGGCATTACGACATGTAATCGTCGCACACTCAAAAACTCGTTTTCGCCCCGAGAACATTTCGGTTTTACTCAAATATTTGACGTTTTTCGCAACGAAAACAGTTTTGTTGTACTCCTCGGCAGTGACTCTTTCGTTTTTTGACCAGTAGGTTCAATCCCCGTACGCGCGAATTTTGACTTCTGAGCCCCTTTAAGCTAAAAATTTGAATAGTGTATACTTTGGTGTAGTAAAAATATGTGTTTCATCTATAGTTCGTTTTTAGGTCAAAGATCCAGGGTCTCGGCCTGTACGCAAAGCGGGATATCGACATGTTCTCGATGATCATCGAATATAAGGGAGAGCTGATCAGGAGCGAGGTAACTTTGCAGGACTTTTAAAGGGGTTGGGAAGCCATGATAATTACCCCTTTGGGCGACTAGGCCTCAACCAAGCAATAATTACGCAATATTTCTTGCGTCTGATTGTTGTCGAGATCTAGTCACTGAAAGGGTCGATTTTCCGGCTTCAAGTCATGTTTAAAGGGACTGGAAAGCGTAAAAATCTACTCCTTTAGTGTTGACAGATTAGGGGTTGTTTCTCGGAACAGACCGAGATTCGGAACTTTCGGAACAAAGACTGGTCGGAACGTTCCGAGATTCGCGTGTTCCGGCTGTTCCGAGATTCGGAACATTCCGAGATTCAAATGTTGCGTTTGTTCCGAGATTCATAGTGTTCCGAGATTCATAGTGTTCGGGCTGTTCCGAGATTCAGAACGTTCCGAGATTTGGCTGTTCCGACTGTTCCGAGATTCGGAACCGTCCGAGATTGAGCTGTTCCGAGATTCAAATTTTTTCGCATGTAAATTTCGATTTCGTGTAAATTGTGTAGATTGCATGTAACTGTTTCGATTTTGCCGTGACACGGCAGTGTGGGCGCAACTGAACACTTACTTCCGTCGATGGTTAGATATTGAATCTGGAAATTAAGGAAATGAGAACGAATTGGGGATCGAATCGAATCGAAATTCAGTCGTGTTTGGAAATTTACATGCGAAAAAATTTGAATCTCGGAACAGCTCAATCTCGGACGGTTCCGAATCTCGGAACAGTCGGAACAGCCAAATCTCGGAACGTTCTGAATCTCGGAACAGCCCGAACACTACGAATCTCGGAACACTATGAATCTCGGAACAAACGCAACATTTGAATCTCGGAATGTTCCGAATCTCGGAACAGCCGGAACACGCGAATCTCGGAACGTTCACATTCGGAACAGTCGGAACGGTTGCTGTTCCGAATGTTCCGAATCTCGGCCTGTTCCGAGAAACAACCCTATGACAGATTGAAAGTTGATTGAAATCGTCATTTGGCCTGTATCGCAGTTGTCGATACCTAGTCGAGGCTGGGGTTAAAGGGATGCTCAACCTTTTCGGGGCTCAAAAAGCAAAAGCCATGCCGCGAGCGGGGTCGAACCCCGGAGCCCCGTTTTGTAGGCCTAGATGCTATCCATTAGGCCATAGTGGCAAGCCATTTGGTGGGATGGGAACGCCACAAGAGGGAATGGTGTCCGAATTCTGTGCGGCTTTGGGGCCCATTGCCGCACAAAATTCGCGCGTCATTTGTACTGCCCGGAATACATAACTATATATTTGCCGGCTAAACGTTGGGTACCCCTTTAATACTAGCACCTCAATAGTCAAGGAACCTTTGAGCTTATTTACGCAAGACGCCTATAACGCTGACTTTTCTCAGATCCGCGAAGTGCGCGAGAAACAGTACAACGCAAAGAACATGGGAGTCTACATGTTCCGTATTGATGAGGAGATTGTCGTTGATGCCACGATGGCCGGAGGGTGTGCCAGGTGAGTTCAGAATCTGGAATTTTAACGGTTTCTGGAGTTTCACATAGTATCAGTACCATTATTATGATCATCGCTAAAATCAAGAATCATTTCCCAGATACATCAACCACTCGTGTGACCCGAACTGCTCGACGAGGATCATCCAGACCGGGACGCAGAGCGAAGACAAGAAGATTATTATCACAGCGAACAGACCGATTAAGGCTCAAGTGAAGAGGTGAGAGAGAGAGAGAGAGAGAGAGAGAGAGAGAGAGAGAGAGAGAGAGAGAGAGTAACTTAACCAACTTTTTTTCAGCTAACCCAACGATTATCAATTTGACGTGGAAGAAGAGACCAAAATCGCCTGCCCGTGCGGCACCCCAAATTGCCAGAAATGGATGAATTAAACAACTTTTCATAATTAATTTTATTTCTACTATACCTCACCCCTCTATGCCTATCAATGCTCCTTTAAAAATCGACAGCCCGGCCTTTTTGGATGCCCGCTTTTATGGCTGGACCCCTGAAAATCTGAATTTCTTACTACCTATTTTTGTACCTTACCCTCGACTATGCACCAAAAACCTAGATATTTTCTGAATTTTCCAGCTGCATTTCTGTACATTTGACTAATGGATTACGCAAGGAAATGTCATTTTTGATGTCTCTGGATTGACTAGTAGCATTGATTCTTTCCAAAAGTTTAAATAAGCTCTTCGTAAAGCGATCAAGAATAAATAGTTGTATGTATTAACTCGATTGTAAACACGCAGATTAAATTTGAGAAAACAAGATAAAATTCATATGGAAAACACCTCTTTCATAAATGATAAACGGCCTCGTGCTTTTTTCCTAACAATTTTACGCCAGAATACTGACACTTCCGTTTTTTATATTTTTAATGATATTAAATTATGAAAAGCAGATTTTGGAAATTTGAATGCATATTGTCGATATTTTGTTGATAGGGGATTTAATCATTTAAATGGCCTGAAAATTGACTTACTCAAATGATTACAGTTAGAATACGCTAATTACCATATTTCCAAATCATCGAAATCGCAGCAAATCATAGTAAACCATGATACTATATACTTAATCTCATATAAAAATTACAAAAGTACGGATCACGCCCAAAAACGTAGTCAAGGAAATGCAATTGCACGCAACTCTCCCACCCAAAAAAAACACCTGATTTTTCTGGTCTATGGGCCGAAGCTTTTCCTACGCTAATTTGAATCGGCTCTCCGAATCAACCCAGCTCAGTACCCAGTCTCGAAAACGACTGGAAAATGCAACCCGAGGCCTTGGATTACGGTACTCTTGTGCTGAAGCTACTAATATTTGTATTGACTTTTTATACGTTATGGAGGTTAAGTAAATTTGATTAACCTTGGACTACACAACCAGATTTTGATAATTCTCAGGATTTTGTTGTGCTTGGGCTTAAATTCCACTAAAAACTTCTATTTTTTTCAGGAAATAAATCCAATTTTGGTTGCAAATGTGATACTTGTCCTTACCGATTTTATCTACGCAGCACTCGCGATTGTGCACGATAATTTGGCCAAGATCTTTGACTATGAGACTTTCGGTAGGTAAACGTTAGAATTTCTTGGCCTTTTGCGGCCATTTAAAAAAATTAATTAAACTAAAAAAACAATTAAATTACACTGGCTAAAAGGACTAGGTAGGTATAAGCCGATGGATATCTGAAATGGAATGGAATCCCCGTAGGTTTTGCCCAAATCATATCCATAGCCCAAAACATCGACAGCCCTGCCTTCCGCGTTTCTTGAAAGTGATCAGGAACCGCGAAAATCAACCCGGTTCTCGCGACGGGTGATACACCGGAAGACACATATAAGCGCAGCCCTAAACCCACCCCAAAACCAGGCCATCGGAGTCTTCGAATTCAGCTTGTGCGTGTTCTGGCGTGTAGCGTAGCGGTCAGGGCCTAGGAGCCAAAAATAGTCGATTCTCGCGCTTCTTTGTTCTTTTAGAGCAATGAGAAAAAATTCGAGAAAAAATAAATGCTTGGATGACATTTAACAGGTTTTGGAAGAAGCATACCTTTTAAAACAAGTGCAACGGTTAACTTCCAGGCCCTATCGGCGGTTTTGCGTACCTCTACATCGCAAACCTCCGATATTGGATGCAAATCTACACCCTCTGCATATTATCAGTTCTCTACCTAGTCGCGATATTCGCCCCTAGCAAATATCGCTTGCTCGGAAAAGCATCCATTTTTGGGATTATGGCAATTCCGGGCTGGGCTTACTGTAGGTGAGGCAATTTCGTGCATTCGCTGTATTGAAATTTCAATTTGAATACAGACTTCACACCCTTGACCCTAAACAAGAACAAAAAAAATAAGAATTACTTATTTTAGTTTCGGATACAATCTATTATACGGTATGCGATTGCCTGGAATATAAGATTCCTGGTCACTACTTTGCCATAAAGCCTGGTCGCCAAACCTTTGAGGATATGTTTGAGATTTATGATGCTTGGCTGAAGGTAGGAGAAAGAGAGAGAAAGAAAGAGAGAGAGAGAGAGAGAGAGAGAGAGAGAGAGAGAGGGTGAGAGCGAGAGAGAGGATGAGGGTGAGAGTGAGAGTGAATGAGCGAGAGGGTGAGAGAGAGGAGAGAGAGAGCGAGAGAGAGCGAGGGAGGGTGAGTGAGAGAGGGAGGGGTGGAGTGCGAGATAGAAGGTGAGTTGTTATAACTCAAACAAAACAAGGCCTCAAACAATCTTGTTTGAACAACGTTGTTCAGGTTTTTGGAGGGATTCAAATCAAACATGTTTTGTTTGATGACCGTCGATCGCTCAAACAAAACGGGATTGTTTGAATATTGGGAACTATTTGAGCAGTTTTTGTTTTGTTGTTGTATTCTATGCTAATTTAGGATTTAAAGTGTGATTTTCCGGCATTTTCATAATTAGCATAAATTTTTCTCGGATAATTTTTTGAATGTTTGAATTAACTTCCCCCCATCAAAAATCCCCAAAAATCCTTTAGGGTGTTCAAACAAGTTCAAACAAGTCAAACAATCTTGTTTGATTTGATCCTTGGACTCAAATCAAACAAGGTTTTTTGTTTGAAACCTTTCGAGAAACACATCCAAAGCAAATTTGTTTGAGTTGTTTGAATAATTTGTTGTTTGTTGTTTGAGTTATAACAACTCTACTAGAGAGTGAGTGAGATAGAGAGAGAAAGAGAGAGAGAGAGTGAGAGAGAGGGCGAGAGATAGATAGCGAGGACGAATGCGCCCGAAACGAGGAGAGAGACAAAGAGAGGAAGGAAGAAAGAGAGAGTGAGAGGGAGAGGGAGAGAAAGAGAGAGGGTGAGAGAGCGACAGAGAAAGCATACAAAACAATTTTAAATCCATTTTTTTACAGACCACAATGCTAGGCCTCTTGATCGGCACCGATGTGGCCATCATTGCCAAGCTGTACAAGATGAAAGTGTTGGGAAAGGAGCGCAGGCCAGTCGAGATTTCACCACGGACAGGTAAGATTTCGCACTTTTTGAAAGATATTTTTTAGTAACTAATCACCCAACTGGACCGCTTTTTCCGAGGCCAAGCCAGAATAATTTGATGAAAAATACGGTAGGTTACGGTAGCTACCGAGCACAGCGGGGACTACTTGAGCAGATTGAGCTTATTTTTACTTAATTTGGCTACAGAGTAATAATTTACATTCTATATTACCTTGCTTTAGAGAATATTTAAAAAATTACAGACCGCTACCCGCTCAAAGACGACGATCGATATTCGACTCGCGCTCGCTTTTCTCTATATCACCGTGGCGTTTATAATAATGACACTGTATTTTCGCTATATTTACATGTAAGTAAATGGTTTCGAGGTGCTTTTGCACTACCGGTGGGGAGTTGTCCAGGCGAGCAGGTTCAGCTTTTTCTTTTCAAACTAATTTTTCTACAATTAATAGATTCTAGTTTTTTATTTTCTGAAACATATCACTTTCCTCATTTTCAGTGTCCCCTACTCGATAATGCCGTACACGAATTTCGTGGTGTTCAACCTGGAGCTGAGCAAATGTACCGTATACGTGCTGATTGTCACGCAGAAATAAACATAATTGGTTCTCCTTGAGCGCTTGCCTGGGCAACATTCTATTTTGTGGGAATTTTTGGGTTAAGCCCTGTCTTTTTCCCACGCCCAATGACCATAACACCAACAAAACGACTGTGTTTTCAAGGTGGAAAACAGCGTGTAATTGTTGGTCTCTAAAAAACCGAATCCAAAATTAAACTCGAAAAAGCGGCAGTCTTTGACCCCGAAACTTGAAAAAATTTTGACTTCAAAAATATTTTTGGTAAGTAAACACTAAAAAAAGGCTGAAAAATATTGTAGCAAATATTTACCATACGTTTAATTATGATTTTCCCAGAGATATTCCTTGCAAGTGCAAACCTTTTCAAACTGTGTTGCTCTTTGGATAGACAGTTCTCCATTCGAACGGGTAGTTTATTTTTTAAAATTACGAGCCGATCCGTACCGTACGGCGGATGAAGTTGCTTGGGGGATGGGAGAGCAATAAAGCGCCCCCATAATCTAATTTGTTGCATAAAAATCATCATTTTCCGGAACTTCCGTATCCACGTCTTCCGGTACCCACAGGATATTCGGAAAGAGGCATCGTGTTCGTCGTAGTCGATTAACTATCGGAACCAGGGTTGTACGCTGATGGACCGGGATCGGTAAAGATCCGGGTCCGACGCGGATCCGAGAAAAAACGGGATCGGAAGTAATATTCTCGATACTGATGCTGATTCGGTTATTTTTATCGCAAAATACATTGTCCAAATGCAGAACTGATCTTAGCATCTTAGAATTAGCACTAAGCTCGGTCGCATGATCCATTTCCTTGGATCCGGACCGGATCCAGATCCAGATCCGGATCCAGTCCGATCCGACAATGACCAACCCTGATCGGAACACATTTTAGCCGTATTTAGAAGAGTTGAAAACGACCCAACGATGTCGCTTCGTTCGCTACATCAAAAAACCATTTTGGTTTTACATCTCTGATAAACCAACTTGTTTTTCCCACCGTTACCTCTTCCTACGAGCCGGACATCTTTGCCAAATTAAAAACCGCGTGTTCTTGACACACACGCGAACTTACGCGCGTACTAATTCCCCGAGACCCCTGAAAATTCATTTGGAATCACGGAACAGTCCGCCAAAGTCTAGCCCCAAGTACAATATTTGATTTCGTTGTTTAGGCTGGGAATTAAGGGACAAGAGAGAAAGAGGAAGATAAAGAAGTAAAGCGCTAATTTCCGCGCCCCGAGTTCGTTACGATCAAAATGTTTTGGTACTCTGTCTGGGCGGAATAAAAAAAGGAAAAGAAAAAAGGTGCGTTCGTTGATTTGTCGAGAGGAGCCTCTTGGAACATTTCATATTTCTGGAAAGCTATGTTCTCGGCTTTTGATGGATTTGAGGTGGTATTTCAGTTTTTTGTGCTTGGCCTGACGATAGTGACGATAAGGCGGTTGATGGCCTATAAGGTGAGTGAGGATTTTGAGGGTTACGGTTTCTCGATTTATTTTTTATTCGATTCAATTGAGAGATGGAGATAGTGGGAACGTGCGAGAGAGAGCGAGAGAGGTGAGAGAGAGAATGAGAGAGAGGGGGGAGAGCGAGAGTAAGAGAGACAGAGAGAGAGAGAGAGAGAGAGAGAGAGAGAGAGAGAGAGTGCGGGAGCGAGAGCGAGAGACTGATAGAGTTCGAGAGACTGATAGAGTGCGAGAGAGAGAGAGAGAGAGAGAGAGAGAGAGAGAGAGAGAGAAAGTACGTGGTTCTGCATATAGCTATGAGAAAAATGATAAAAAATAAGAAAGACCAAAAATTTTCTCCCAGGATCCAAGCCCAATAATCGCCGCGAATTTCCTACTCGTCCTCGCTGACCTCGTTCACCTAGTCGTCAGAATGATCCACGACAACCTGGCGAAAATCTTTGAAATTGAGCCGTTTGGTAAATTCATACAGAATATTAAAACATAATCTGATATTTTCAGGTGATATCGGCGCTTGGACCTTTGTTTTCCTGATGAATTTCCGCTTCATCGTCCAGATCTATCTCTTCTTTTTGATCTCAATATTACATTTATTGGCTATATTCGCTCCAACAAAATATCGACGTTTCGACACGCCAACTACCGTAATTGCGATGGCAATCCCGGTCGGATTGGCGTTAGGTGGGTATTAAAGCGCAAAAAAATTACGTACGTATAATACCGATAAGATCTGAAACTTACGGTATTCCGTTCCAGTCCAAGATACGATATATTCGACCGTGTGCAACTGTTTGTACTACGACGTGGAGAAACAGGACTTTACCGTGCACCTCATCAACCTCGACTTCCAATTTGCATACGATATTTTTGACAAGGCATTAAAAGTACGTGTTTTTCATTTTTTATGCGAATCGCTTAATACCTAGTAACAGACCAAAAACCTTATTGTTAGGTATCGATGATTTCACTGCTAATCGGTACTGATATCGCGCTGGTTTCGAAGCTGTACAGGATAGACGGCCTGGGAGCTGCAAGGCGAAGAGCGGTCAGGACGACAGATAGCAGTTTAGCTACTGGTAAGTAGTAGTGCGTGTGTTAAATTTGCGCACAAAATCTCGACGCTTGCGCGGTTGCTAGATGATGCGAGTCGCTTTACATTTGGCGATAAAATCGATAAAAAAAGATCATATTCTTCGGTCACGAGGCCCCTGAAATTCTGAATTTCCAGTTGCTACCGTTGAGCGACAGGACTCGACAATTGCGTGGACCAACGGATTACCACCTGCTTCGGTAAGTCAAGGCATTTTTGCGCGATTTCACAAATCAGCACTGCTCGCTTGCCCATCTAGAGGTTGTACTACCAGATTTTGTTTCTTATGGCGTGCCGATTTGTTAGAAACTTTGAAGTGTGACCAGGGTTGAAAAGCCGCTTCGCGACTTTTCAACCCTGGCCTCGTCTGTTCCCATTTTATCCTTCACTTTGCATAATTGTCCTAAATTCCGATGACAAAAAAATGAAAAAACAACCTCTCCTGTCCATTTATATGGTCGAATCCCCACTTCCGGTCTATGCTAATTATTCCTAACAAAGAAGTTTACACAAAAACTTAAATTTAATGTTGAAAATAGGTGACTTTGTTGAATCTAAAATGCGTGCAGTCATCTACAGACCATTGCGCACCTAATGACGTATCATACGTACTTTAAAATTCATCGCCTAGCGAGATATCCTCCGGACAGACAGACAGAAGTGGATGGAAAGTGGCACACACACACACAGACACTATTTTTTTATATATAGTAGGATAAAGTTAGCAGCTTGAATAGCTTTACATGCACTGATAAATTACATAAAGTTATCAGAATCAGGACTTCTTCAATCCCTAAAATTCTCTATGCTGTAGACCTCCCTGAACCCCCCTAAACCTCCCTAACTAGGGGGTTGGGAGGGGGTTGTAGGGGGGTTCGGAGGGGGGTTTAGGGGTTTAGGGGGAGGTTGGGAGGTCTACTATGCTGGGGTACCCTTGCGATTACAAGTAAACTTATGTTATTTCGCTTGCATGTCTTTCCGAATGCCCTACACACCGTTATTTAACTTTGAAATCGATACAATCGGTCCTTTTCGGCGTTTTCAAGAGGTCTCAGCTTGCTTGCCACCAGTTCTTATAAAAATCGCTATAAAGGTATCATATATTAAATTTGATCCATTCAGACCCCAGCCCAACGTCCCGTCCACCGCGTTCGTATCGACAAGCGGCTGGCTCTGGGGTTTTTCTATATAACGCTCGCCTACACCTACGTCGGCTTCTATTATAAACTATCCCATTTGTGAGTTTTACGCTATAACGACGCTATAAGTACAGGAAATTAACGTTTTCTTGTTGAAACCTAATTTCCTCGATTTTTCAGAATACCGACCAATATACGAGAGGGTTTCGCCCTGTTCCAAGCCTGTTTGGAGATCAGCAAATGTACAGTCTATGTGTTTATTGTTACGTATAAATAAATTAATGTTTTTTGATGTCTGGTGCTTTTCCATTATCGGGGGTACAATGTAAAGCTTGACGTCATTTTCATGAGTTTGTTGTAGTGACAATGTAAAGCAATAAACTACTTTTACATCGAATTTTAAAATGCGCTCCTTTGTGATATGGTAATGAAATTAGGGATTGAACTGCTTGAACTCGACATCACTAAAAGATTAAACCGGTTATACCTTATCTTCGCCATTTTCGTAAATTTTCGACCAAAAAGTAAATGTTTCCTAAAATTCCTTTATTTTTATTTGTTGATTTAATTCTAAAAACACATCTATCGTTATAGACGTACAAGATTCCTGGGAAGAATTCGGTTCACTCGCAAACCCCTCCCCCACTAACAGCACAGTGCCTAAAGTTTGTACAAAAAATCTTTCAAGTCCTCTAAAAAAAATTCAAATTTGAACTCGTTGCTTACTAGCTTGCTTACCAGCTCACTAGCTTACAACTAGCTTTAAAGGCTGAACATATTTTTTCCAGCCCAAAAAAACTAATTGCCAATCCAAAGAAATCCGCTAGTTTTTGAGGCGAAAAGATTAGGAGCCTCCGACTAACAATCAAGAACGCGATTTTGGGTCCCGAATCCTCAGGGAATCGATTTCAATAAATACGGCAAAAAATGGGTGAGGGGTGAATTTAGGGGGATATGATCCGAATTGGTAATCAAATGACAGATTAGTGAGGGGTGGAGATTCGTCGCTATAGAATTGGACAGCTTGAACCTCATATCTCATTCCTCACCTTTCCTGTTATTTGAAAAAATTTTTCGAAACTTTATAAGCCTTTTCAAAGACGAAAAACTTGAAGCACGAGATTGTTTCTCCAAAAGCAGAAATGCTGACGACTCGCGACTATATCGAGGCTGGGATCAGGGTCGGGCTGTTATTTCTAATGTTTTATTCGTTAAAGAAGATTGTGATATTAAGGGTGAGCTAGTTTAAACTGAATGTTAGTAAAAAACGCTATTTCATGCGCGAATTGTAAAAATTTTTCGCGTTTCAGAACTTCGATCCGGTACTGGCGGCCAATTTTCTATTAGTGCTTGCTGACGTTATCAACAATAGTATACTACTGGTCCATGACAACTTGGCAAAGCATCTGGAGTACGAGCCATTTGGTATGTGGCAGGAGGGTGCTTTAAAAACTGTAGCTTTAATACCCCTAAGGTATTCCGAAGGCTCGAAAATCAACCCATGATTAAGTAGGTCCCGGGAGCTCCGTGAGACATCGAATATTCGCGTGAAATTCCGATACGCTGCGGGCGATCCGTCCATAATCGTGCCGTTATCGATACCTAGCGTTTAATGTCTCGTACAATAAGCATAGTACAACCCGCGTAGCTGTTGATATCTGGACATCAAAAAATTCAAGAAGCTATGAAAGCTATGAGTATGGTTTTCGGAGAATTAGGCGTCTGGTTATACGCTTGGGAAGCTAATTTTCGATATTTCCTCCAAATGTACCTCTATTGTATGATACCACTATTCCATTTTATCCTATGCTTCCGCCCGGTCGTCTATAAAAATATTGGACAACGAAAAACGGCAGCTTACATGGGTGTCGCGCTCGCCTGTGCTTTCGGTATGTTTTCTACACCGCTCCACATAAATTTGTAGGCACCCCCAATTTTTTGTCTAGGGAAATCGCAGGTCATTATAGCGCTTTTATCCCAATTACCCAATACTAATTGGGGTTTGTGAAGCTGAAAAAATTCCGGATCCTGCGCTGCCGAAATCCCTCGAGCCTTTATGCTGTAGAAACCCAAGATGTGCATGTCCCAGTACCCGGTTCTGTGGTGGCTTGGACCCGTCTCCGGTCGATCTCGATGAAAATCGAGCTCGATGCGTTACGTACGGAAGCGTACAGGTCATGTGACGAAGTTACAGCACAAACCGAGTTTGCAATGGCCTGAAAAGGAGAATTTTACCCCAAGTTAGGCCCAGGCTACGGTAGGGCGAGAAACAAGTTCAGGGAGTTTTGCGTTTTAAATGCGCAATTGAGGCTTGAGATGCATCTGCTTCTGGTCGGAAGGCCTCTGCGGACCACATCCGCTCGGTAACATTCCGAAAGTATCGTTCCCACCGCTAAAACCACCTCGTTTACAGATCACTTTTTGATCCCACGATTTTTCGCGCTCGGAGCACGAGCTTACAGTGTCTGTTTTGAAAAAAGTAATTGCTCAAGCAAGAGCATCACCAGAAACCATCACCAATGGTTTTCGAGGTGAAAAAATGACGCTGAACCCGGAAATCGCAAAAAAAATGGTACTGCCTACATATTTTTGTGGATCGGCCAAAACCTGATTTTCAGAAAAATAATTTTTTTAAATTTCAGAGGTGGTTTCGTAAAAATCTCACAAGTTTTTTCAGCTTCACAAACCCCAATTAGTATTGGGTAATTGGGATAAAAGCGCTATAATGACCTGCGATTTCCCTAGACAAAAAATTGGGGGTGCCTACAAATTTATGTGGAGCGGTGTAGGAGGTAACCCAGCACAGATTATTTGAGAAAAACAGAGTTTTGAGTATAATTTTAGTAACCGAGACTTGTTACCACTTATTCTGTGCCTGTTTTTACTATGCGATACCTGGGTATTACCTCGGAATCCGGCCGGAAAGGATCGATTCTGAGAGGGATTTCGAAATCTTTCATAGCTTGTGGACGGTAGGTAAATCTCAATCTTCTTGAGGGCCATCTGCGCTTTTCTTAAAAGGAAAAATGACAGAAAAATAGCGGCGGACGAGCTGCGGCGCGGTCGTTTTGCGGTTTTCGGAGGAACGTTTTGCCATGTTTTGGAACTCTTTGTTGCCAGGAAACAAAAATCTAGTTAATTTGATCGTGAGTTTTCAGATCGTAATGCTTTGGCTACTGATCGGAACTGACGTCGCGATTATAGTAAAGCTATACAAGAGAAAAGCGCGCACTCAGAGGAATTCAAGGATTATGGAAGAATCCAGAAGTACCGGTAATTCGATAAAAACGGGTCTAGCAATTGGATTGTTTATTTTATTTTGTACATTAATATTAATAAAAACTAATTTTTATCCTATAAGCGAGAAAAGTATGTGTGTTTTCTGTCCGGGCGGTTTCTCGGCCGTCAGGCCGAATACCGCGCTGATTTTTGGCATGGAGGTGAAGAAACACATTCGCCAAAAACGGCTTTTTGGATTTTTTGAAATTCCTTCATTTAACAATTTTACAAGCAAAAAAGTGAAAATCCTTAACAAAATGGGTGACGCGCCGTGGTGTTCGGGCCATAACTCGAAGTATTGATGGAATTTCGGTTTGTAATTTGGACCACTTATGTATTCGATGGTGGGGATCACGCGCATCTCATTATTTTTACAAAATTTCGGCGCATCCAGATCAAAAAAGTTAATTTTGTAAAGTTACCAGAATAACCCCGAACGGGCGTGACCCGAACCCCCAGGGCAGAAGAGGCCTTTCCCGCCAGCCGTCCCAATGCCCCCGTTGGTATAGTGGCTTGGCGCCCGGTCTACCACGCCCATAGTCGAGGGTTCGGATCCTCGGCAAATTTACCATTTTGCTTTTTGATATTTCAACAACAAAACTTATTTCGAGACTCTCAGTATCCGAAATTTAGGCCAGTCCCTCGCCTCTAGCGCCGCAGGCCAAAAAAAGTCCCTTGGCCCTGGCTCTCGCGCCGCAGGCCAAATGCTAGAGAAAAACCAGTAGCCAGCGCCGCAGGCCAGAGAAGCATTCCTAGAGTCAGGCTCTTGCGCCGCAGGCTTGAAAAACGGAAGGAGATTATATGGTTCCTAGACGGGGGCCAGTGGAAAAGGGCCGCGAAGCGGACATTTTCCACTGGTAATCTTAATAAATTAAGGTCTAGCCAGTGCTCCACCAATTGCCTTTGTTGAAAATGGGTGGACGAACGTGAGTTGGCCGCAGGTTCGGAAAATTCCTTGAAAATGAAACAGAATCGCTCAAAAATCTTTGAAAAAATTAAAGCGGTGCCCATTTAAAACCAGATTTCCACATTTTGGACCTAGTTACGCCATCAAAAACTATATTTAATCATATTCAAAGCTTGATTATAAATTTCAGCCGTCGACAACCTTCAAAATCGCGACGGACAAGCGGATAGCCATGGCGCTATTTTATATAGCTAGTTCGTATATATTCTTGACGATCGTTTTTCGGTATCCATTTTTGTAAGTTTTGCTTAGCTCCTAGCTCCCAGCCTTTAACTCTCAGCCCCTACCTTCCAGCTCCTAGCCCTCAGCTCCTACCCCCCAATTCCTGTCCCCCAGCTCCCGCCTCCAAGCTTCTAACTCCCAGCTCCTAGCACCTAGCTATCGTCTCACAGCTAGCTCCAGCAGCAGCATCCTCACTCCCAACTCCAGCACCTAGCGGCCACTTCTCAGCTCCGAGCTTTCCGCTCAAAGCTCCTAGTCCCTAGTTTCCAGCTCATAGTTCTCGATTCCAAAGCCAAATCAACGAACTTTTTACAATTAGTTTCAAAAAAGGGTGATTCTTTAGATTTCCAGCTTCTATCCAATCTGATATCCTGCTGTTTGGGTTTTTACTGGATACAAGCAAATGTGCCGTCTATGTATTAATTGTGGTCCAAAATAAATAGTTCATTCTTCTTTTCGTTAATCTCGCCTTGTAGTGTAGATTTTCATTAGCGCTAAATTTCTGGAAAATCGCACTTCCGGAATCAAGGCGTCGGGTCTCATTTTGCGGTAGTTTTGATTAATTCAATTTTCTTCGGATGAATGAAGTACAAAAAAAAAGCTGCCTTTCGACACCACGAACCAATTTTAAGGATCCCGCAGAGACTTGGGGATTCCGGGAATTCCAGCAAAAATATGTGAATGTTGCACATGACCTGCTTACAAAAAGGAATAGGAAATGAATACTACAGAATTGCAACCCGAACTGGAGGGCAGTGAAACACATGGACTCGCATGGCACACGGAACGCAACGCTAACCAACCCCGCAGGGTGCCCAGATCTTTAAACAAAAACACGAAATACCACGAAATCAAACCACAATCTGTCCACGAAATACCTTCCAAAATCCCGACAGACAGAATCCCGACCAGCCAAAATACCGATAACTCAAACCCCTATAGCCAAAATACCGACAATACCGACAATACCATAATAATACAACCATAATACAATATACTCTTCCACTCTCTCTCCCTCTTTCGCCCTATCTCTTTCTCTCGCTCTCTCAGTCTCTCTCGCTCTCTCAGTCTCTCTCTCTCTCTCTCTCTCTCTCTCTCTCGGCCTTTCTCTCTCTGTATCTTTTTGGAAATTATAATACCACAATTCTTTTCTGCAATACTGCATTCCCGTTCCATCGGGCTCAAAAACCGAACAGGAACCAAAAATTGCCAGGCAAATACGGGAAACCGGATGCTTTTCCTGAAACTGGGCGGATAATTGATAGCCGGGGTAGAGAGAGAGAGCGAGAAGAGAGAGCGAGAGGGTGAGAGAGAAGAGTGAAAGAGAGGAGAGTGAAAGAGAGGAGAGTGGGAGAGAGAGCGAAGAGAGAGAGAGAGAGAGAGAGAGAGAGAGAATGAGAGAAAGAGAGAGAACGCACGAATTAGCCTGGAGGGCACGAAACAGGCTCTGCTTTATAGGGATTGCCGGGGGGTGGGGGGCAAAAAAGTGGTGCAGTCCTTTCGGGCAACTCTCGGTGTCTCGGTCAGCTATTCCATCTTCATCGTTCATATTGTCATTTATTCGTTTCTGGCCGATCCATCAAAAATGAGCGGTTATTATGGATGGGTGTTCATTATTGGGTTGACATTGTTACAAGTTGTTGTTGCAGAAGATGAGATGAGGGTAAGCCTTTGTAATTTCAGAATTCTAATCCACGATTTATTAGTGATTTATTTTATACATTTTCGATATTCTTTTTAAAAATAAATTAAATTATATGAGTTAAATCATCATCATCAAGCAAATCATCATTCCTAATAAGGAATCTAATTAATTTAATAGGGTGCAAGATATTAGGTTAAATAAATCCTGCTCGCAAAATATTATAGTTTCTTGGTGAATTTTTAGTTTATTAGTTTAAGATTGCAATTTTTAACGAATTTAATCAATTTAATTATTTTGCATAAATTTGGCAAGTTGATTAAGAATGTAGTTATTTAAATGTATTTTAATGAACGTAGCGTATTGAATATATTACAATAAATTTATTTAGTGGCTATATTTATACGTTATACGCGCCCTTAAACGTTTTTATAGTTTATATTTAACCAGTGGAAAAAAAGCCGCTTCGCGGCAGTTTTCCACTGGCCACTGCTAGGTCAACATGACTGACCTCTCCAAAAGTCTACCGGAATTTTATGTGCCGGCCGTAGGCCGGTCACATAAAGCTGAAAAACGGATTCAAAGATACAATTCAAAAAAGTTTAGAGATAATTATGGCAAAGAACCAATGTTGAGGAAGTTAGACACATATTAGGGTGTTTAAAATATTTATCCGGCAAAATATAATATAAAAAAGCAACAAACAACAACAATAATAACAAACGAAAAGAACAACAATAACAATAATAATAACAAAAAAAATCAACAATGACAAAAGATTCAGAATTTTATTCGAGCACTTTATTGAACGTAGCGTATTGAATATATTACAATAAATTTATTTAGTGGCTATATTTATACGTTATACGCGCCCTTAAACGTTTTTATAGTTTATATTTAATTCCAGCCCACCCGCCTCCACTACCCTTCTCGAGAACTTATCGAAGAAATCAGCAAAAGATTCATCGAAGAGGAAAATTATGAAAAATCTGAGACCGAAAATACGGTAGATGGAGAGCATGGAGAAGACTATCAAGAAGCGTATGAAGAAGAGGCAGAGGAAAAACCGCAGAGAGGAGCCTCTGTTCAATTCTTCAAGGCTGAACCTGTCTACACTCCTGTGGTCATCAAAAAGAAGCCAAAAGTGGAGCCGGAAAAGGTAAGAAAAATCGGGTTTAAACGGATTGTGAAGCCGGAGAATCTACTTCTTTTCTCGCTGGGTCTAGACAGTTACAAAATGCGCCAAAATACGCCCAGGAAAACCTTTCCAGCAAAAGCGTTGTCATTAAGTGTAACGCGTAGTGGTCAAGACCTAGCCAAAAGCTATCTTAAAAGTGCAATAAAGGACGAAAATCGATCCCTTCGCTTGGCTAGGTCTCGACAACTGTATAAAACGCCAAAAGATCGGCGGAGGAATTTTAACTACACTTTTCTTGAATTAGAATCCCATAAATTGAGCTTGCAAGCGTGATTTGGAGTGTCCTGTAGTTGTCCAGACCTAGCCAAACAAAACGGTCGATTTTGGCGCTTTCCGGTCCTTGTGGGGATTTTTAATTCATAACGGTTTTTGACGAATCCTAGGATAGACTTAGGGATTATAAATTTCCGGAAATTCAGAAAAAACAACTCGTCACCCGGCAAACAATTCCACGCCCATTATTGCAACGTCCTCCAGTTGTTCTGGTAAGATTTTTTAACTTTTAGCTTAAGCAGTTTCGCACGAGATTATTTATTAAGCCTTTTTAGCAATATCAGCCGCGAGTTCAAGCAGTTCAACAAGTCCAGGCTGCACCGCAAGTACAGTACTATCAACCCCAATATTACCAACCGCAGCCACAGCCACAACCTCAGGTTTTCCAGATTTTTGAAGACTCTGATTTTCTAGAGTTTTCAGTACCAGCCACAGTACCAGCAATACTATCAACAACCACCACCGGTACAGCCGGCTTATTATGTAAGTTTTTAAATACCGGATTTTAGCAATTTCTTACGCCCATGTCCGGCAAATTTACCTAAATTGGATTTTAACAATTTTCCTGATTTTTGTACGTATAATATACGTTTATAGAAGTGGGGTATTGGTGTAAAAACGCAACTTATTTTAAGTTAATTGCTTTTTACAGTTAAAATACTTTGAAAAAGCATTAAATTTTTTCAGAGCTACCAAAACCAGCAATCGCCGTACGGACTTCAGCCACAGCCACAACAGCAACAACAGCCGATACAGTACGCCGGCTACAACACCTACTATTACCAAGGATGAGATCGCATACATTATTTAAACACCCTAATAATAAAACTTAATAAAAGCTAAGAAAATTCTTTGTAAGACATGTATAAGAAATTTGAAACTACTGGAAAGGTACTACTCTACGGTACTCTTTACTACTATCAAAAATCTCAGCCCGTGCAGTACAGTACAGTACATTACAGCGGTTTTAGCCACTATGAGACACTTTTCGGGAAAGAATTTTTAGTGTAATTTAATGGGGCTGCGGAAATGCCAAAATTGAGTGATGGCCCGAAAATCGGAGCCCTGTACGTCGGAGGCCTCTGTACACCCCGGGGCCCGGGAAGCTCGCAAATTTGAAATAGCCTGTTGTCACCTCGAAATCACGTTTTCGGTTGTTTCTGGGCCAAATTTGATGCTTAAAACACCCAAACTATTTAAAATTCAGTGAGGATTTCAAAAATGGGCTCAGAATGCGCGAATTATAGTGTTTTCACAAAGAAACCGGGCAAAAACAACTTCGGGCAAAAATCGAAAGAGTGAGGGCTCTCGTCCCGTAGCGCCCGCTGGCGATTTGCCAGAAATCAAAGAGCCCTCCCAAAAGGGCTTTGATTCGACAGTTCGGAGCCCCTTTAAATGTATTCGTACACATCCCTGACCTGGAGCTATTTTTTTTGTGGTGAGCCGTCACCTGCAAAAAGCTCGCCGGCCCTTCTGGGTGTTATCAGATTGCCGACGGCTAATCCGAGCACCGATCGATTACGCAGAATTTCGTGATTTCTGGACGCTACTGTACAAGTTTTTAACACCTCTTACCGCATTCAAAAGGCCCATAGCAAAGCATAAAATTTCCGAGGTTTCATAAATGCACTCACGACCACCGCAACCCTAAATGTGTGATTTTCTGTCAACAAAAACCGTTAGCGTTGGCACCAGCGGGTGCAAATATTTGGTGCCGCTCCAGAGGCGCAAAAGGCATTTTGCGGAATTGTTGCTCTTTGGGAATCGTGCGCGGGAGATGATTTTTCAGAACGTGATGTTGTGCTAAATTTACATTAAATTATAGATTCGGGGGTTTTTATTGAGATAATATCTGCATTTCATAACTCTCACCAGCGTTTTCACCAAGCTTTCAGAACAAAACTTTGGCCACATAAACGACGTTGACGATTCGAACAAAAAATTTCGTTTTTTTATGTAAATTATCTGAGCCAAAAGCTATATTAAATGTGATTTTTCAAACCTTACCTGTCGATGTATTAAAATTTCCAGAAATATGTACTAATCCGTGTAAAAACCGGAAATTCCCCATTTGAAGTGATTACCAAAACAATGGCAAAAAGTATAGGGCGTGCCCGCCATACGCTTTCAAAAATACAACCTCTACTAATCGAGTTAACCTAAAAGTGACAGTTGTATGTGGGGGGTGTTTCCTGTTCTGCTTCCATCCAATTTACAGCCCCGACCAGCAATCACCATTTCCAGGTGTTTTCGCGGGACCCGCTGCGGCGATTCTTGGCTGTACAACTTATTTTTTGCAGGTAAAATGCAAAAACTCGTTGTTTCTTTGATTTTTCTGCGCTTGGCATTGTGCCAAGTGACTCCAGACTACGACAATTTCGAGTCGACGACAATGCTACAATCGGGGATTCAGAAATTGGTAAGTTCATATAAAATTTAATATCCCAAAAATGGTTGATTGTACGGAATTTAACGTAAATTAACTCACTGAAAAAATGTTTAAATTGCGCTTTTTCATATTTCAGGTTATTGTTAGGACACAAACTATCTAGACTTGGGAAGTTATCAAAATTTAAAATTTAAATCTGTAATCAACAGATTATAAAACGTTTTTAAAGTAATTTTAGTTATCTTATGCATTAAATGATTAACGTGAGAAGCTGTTAAGAATTAGAAAAGATGATTGGTTTGTTGTTTTTAAAGTTATTTTTCAGCTCAAGTTTCCCAGGTTTTTTTGATTGCTCAATTTCTACATTTCTAGATCCCCTACCCAGCCACGTCACAGGACTGTAATTCGTGTATTACTGTTGTCGAGACGATTCGCCAGAATCAGGGCATGCATGCGTATCAGCTTACTGAGGTAAGTAGCCCTATTCGCGTTTATGCTCCATTAAAGCGTTGATTCTTCAGTTTAAAAAGTCTACCTAATAAATTACTATAAAATTAAAAAAATTAAAAATTGAATTTAGACTCAAGTGATTTAAAGTTATTCGACTAAAATTGGCTGTTTAGCCTTCTATGAGTGGTTTTTGCTTTTTCAGCTCGTCTACACAACTTGCGAAGGGACATCGTTGCGAAATTTGGAAGATTTTTGCTTGACTGTTACTGCTGATATCGGTAAGCATTACGTTTTTGTCATTAACAGAAAACTATGGACGGCTTTGATTATTTAAATTTTTTTGAATAGCTTTGATATTTTCCTATGAAAATCACAATTTTATTATATTTTCAGACGGCTACATCACGCAAATCAAGGAAAACAACCTAAACGACCAGCAACTCTGCGACTTGCCAATTCCAGATTGTGCTAAATTTTGGGGGAATTAAATAATGGAATTATTTTTTTAAACAGCTTTATCGAATGTAAATAAATGTATGTACATAGTATCTGGCGGGCTACGCAACTTTCCGCTTGTTCGCATTGCCCAATTATTTTTCGGGATTCTGAGAAGACAGAGGGAGAGAGAGAGAGAGAGAGAGAGAAAGAGGGAAAGAGAGAGTGCAGAATAGTAAAAGGACACTCCTATTTACGGGTCCAGGGCTCCCGGTTGACAACCCTCCAAATTCTCATTAATCCGCCACCCGCCTGAGGGTTTCTTGGGCTTTTCTTTGCTTCATATCCCGCCTTATATAATTTGGTCGCGTATGTGTGTGTGTGTGTGTGTGTGTGTGTGTGTGTGTGTGTGGATGTCACTTTCGAGGCCCGATTTGAGGGCCTTCCCGTGCATAAAATGCCCTAATTCTCCGTCACCCGGGGGAATCGACCCTTCTGTTTCCGATGACGTTCTCAGAATTTAGATAAAATACAAGTTTACAAAGTTAAGGCCGGTTTTATTCATTTTTGGGGGTCCCTGAGGGCTAATTTGCATAATGCGAGAAAATACAAATTTCCTCATTCTTGCCAGTTGCACTCGCGCGTTTGGCTGCCTCAGTGGAGCTGCCTCCGATTGCCTTGGCTCTCCTTTCCCAGCAGTCACCTCGGGGCATACAAGGGCTGTTGCGCGCGCGCTCCCAAGCGCTTCATGGTATAGTGGTTAGAGCGTCAGCCTGCCAATCTTGCTATCGGGGGTTCGATCCCCGGCTATCGTATTTTTTTTGCTTTATGCTCGGAATGCATGTTTCGAAGTGTATTTTCCTGTAGGGAGGCGCTATTCTGAAGTCAGTCGCTCTAAACTGCGTCGCAGGCTAACGAATCCAGCTAGGCACTGAAACTAGCGCCGCAGGCTAAAGATGCAGGCTAATCCCTCAAGCTAGCGCCGCAGGCTTTAGAATGTATTTAGCCGCACAAGCTAGCGCCGCAGGCTTGAGAACGAAGCTAGCCGCACAAGCTAGCGCCGCAGGCTTCAGAACGTAGCTAGCCGTACAAGCTAGCGCCGCAGGCTTCAGCACGAAGCTAGCCGCACAAGCTAGCGCCGCAGGCTTGAGAACGAAGCTAGCCGCACAAGCTAGCGCCGCAGGCTTCAGAACGAAGCTAGCCGTACAAGCTAGCGCCGCAGGCTTCAGAACGAAGCTAGCCGCACAAGCTAGCGCCGCAGGCTTCAGAACGAAGCTAGCCGTACAAGCTAGCGCCGCAGGCTTCCGAACGAAGCTAGCCGCACAAGCTAGCGCCGCAGGCTTGAGAACGAAGCTAGCCGCACAAGCTAGCGCCGCAGGCTTTAGAACGAAGCTAGCCGCACAAGCTAGCGCCGCAGGCTTGAGAACGAAGCTAGCCGCACAAGCTAGCGCCGCAGGCTTCAGAACGAAGCTAGCCGTACAAGCTAGCGCCGCAGGCTTTCAGAACGAAGCTAGCCGCACAAGCTAGCGCCGCAGGCTTGAGAACGAAGCTAGCCGCACAAGCTAGCGCCGCAGGCTTTAGAACGAAGCTAGCCGCACAAGCTAGCGCCGCAGGCTTGAGAACGAAGCTAGCCGCACAAGCTAGCGCCGCAGGCTTGAGAACGAAGCTAGCCGCACAAGCTAGCGCCGCAGGCTTTAGAACGAAGCTAGCCGCACAAGCTAGCGCCGCAGGCTTCAGAACGAAGCTAGCCGCACAATCTTGCGAGCGAGGCTTTAGAACGAAGCTAGCCGCACAAGCTAGCGCCGCAGGCTTCAGAACGAAGCTAGCCGCACAAGCTAGCGCCGCAGGCTTGAGAACGAAGCTAGCCGCACAAGCTAGCGCCGCAGGCTTTCAGGAACGAAGCTAGCCGTACAAGCTAGCGCCGCAGGCTTCAGAACGAAGCTAGCCGTACAAGCTAGCGCCGCAGGCTTCAGAACGAAGCTAGCCGCACAAGCTAGCGCCGCAGGCTTCAGAACGAAGCTAGCCGCACAAGCTAGCGCCGCAGGCTTCAGAACGAAGCTAGCCGCACAAGCTAGCGCCGCAGGCTTCAGAACGAAGCTAGCCGCACAAGCTAGCGCCGCAGGCTTCAGAACGAAGCTAGCCCCACAATCTTGCGAGCGAGGCTTTAGAACGAAGCTAGCCGCACAAGCTAGCGCCGCAGGCTTTAGAACGAAGCTAGCCGCACAAGCTAGCGCCGCAGGCTTTAGAACGAAGCTAGCCGCACAAGCTAGCGCCGCAGGCTTCAGAACGAAGCTAGCCGCACAATCTTGCGAGCGAGGCTTTAGAACGAAGCTAGCCGCACAAGCTAGCGCCGCAGGCTTCAGAACGAAGCTAGCCGCACAATCTTGCGAGCGAGGCTTTAGAACGAAGCCAACCGCACAAGCTAGCGCCGCAGGCTTCAGAACGAAGCTAGCCGCACAAGCTAGCGCCGCAGGCTTTCAGAACGAAGCTAGCCGCACAAGCTAGCGCCGCAAGCTTTCAGAACGAAGCTAGCCGCACAATCTTGCGAGCGAGGCTTTAGAACGAAGCTAGCCGCACAAGCTAGCGCCGCAGGCTTCAGAACGAAGCTAGCCGCACAATCTTGCGAGCGAGGCTTTAGAACGAAGCCAACCGCACAAGCTAGCGCCGCAGGCTTCAGAACGAAGCTAGCCGCACAAGCTAGCGCCGCAGGCTTCAGAACGAAGCTAGCCGCACAATCTTGCGAGCGAGGCTTTAGAACGAAGCTAGCCGCACAAGCCGCAGGCTAAGGAATGAAGCCAACCATTGCAGCTAGCGCCGCAGGGTTAAAGAAGGAGGTGACCGTTTAAATTGCGCCGCAGGCTTAATCTTGAAGCAAACCGCTCAAGCTGGCGCCACAGGCCAAAAAACGAGGCTAATCCCTCAAGCTTGGGCCGCAGGATGAGGCTGCGTCCTAGCCGATGAAAGATGCGCCGCAGACCTAATAACGGGACTAGCATTTCAAGCTTGCACCGCATGTCAATACAAAGAGGTTTGCATGGAAGATGGGTTTTTCTTTCTTCAAGGTAAATTTATGTCGAAGGGCGCTCGATTAATAGGGCCTGACGGGATCCAGCGGGGGAGAGTCGCGAAGCGGCTCCTCCCCCGCTGGTTTCTGAATAATATGGAATGTTACTTTAGACGAAAATTTAAAACTTTTGAGGAAATTGCTTATCATCACCAAAAATTAACAAATCTGTTTGGAGGTTTTTGCACAGCGCAACGATTCGTGGAGTTTATAATCTGACAATATGCCAATTTCCACGCAGAAACTCTGCTAGCTTGCCTTTTCTCTCGTGATCTAGTTTTTAAGGAACAGGGAAGCCAAAAACTTCGGATTTTGCAGAATTCGGTTCCCAAAACGCCCCAAAAAAGCTCAGATACGGGGACGTACGTCTGCACTAGGAAAACAGACATAAGGAGTTCTAATTCCTTGAAATCTATGTGTTTAAGTCCGTTTGAGCTTAAAATGGATGTATCTTTCAAACTACCAGAATACCAATAGCTATTAATGCTGAAACGCTAGTTTTCTTAGAAAATTTTTAATTTAGGTTTTTCGACATCTTCTCTGTCACCTATTTGATGCCATTCCATCCCGGTTCCGTCTCCGTGTGCCATTTTCGATTTAAAGACTCGATATTTCCAGCTTGCCTTAGAAGCCTGAAACTCTATGAAATCCGTAGTCCGTAGCTACGAAAAGCGCTTTTAGAATAATGGCGAGATTCGGAAAATTATGACCCCTGTTGACTGGGCTCGGCTCCTTGAAAAAGCTCCAATAAATCTAGGATTGTTTAGAAAAGTGCTGTACCCACTATATTTCCCTGCGGCGAATTATTTATAGGGTGTAGGTGTCCCCCTTCTGACCGAATGCCCAAATGGGCAAGAGGGTCAACAAATTTCTTTGTTTTTCTTTTCCCCACGACTACGCTAATCCGTTCGCCGGTTTTACGCAGAATTTACGGGTTTTTAGGGAGCTGTAGAAATGGATTAATCGTATTTGGGATACGAACTAAGCTACCCAAGCCAACCCCAAGCCCAGCCCAAGCTAAGCCTAGGCTATGCCCAAGTTAAGTCTAAGCTAAGCCTAGGCTAAGCCTAAACTAGGCCTAAGCTAAGCCTAAGCTAAGGCTCAGCTAAGCCCTAGCTAAGCATAACCTAAGCCCAAGTTAAGCCTAACCTAAGCCCCAACTAAGTCTAAGTTAATCCTCACCTAAGTCTAAGCTAAGCCTAAGCTAAGCCCCAGCACAAGCAAAGTGATGCTTAAGCCAAGCCTAAGCCAGGCCTAAGCCAAATTTTTACTTTTTTTAATCTCAAATCAATATTTTTTGAAGCTTTACCCCTAAAAATCAATTTTCGGTGCACCCGAGCAACCCCACTACTACCAGCCCGGCCGAAAAATCCGAATAAAATCGGCATAAAAATGATAGGGGCCTTAAGAGGGGGGCTAGGAAAGCAGAAAAGGGCCGTTATCAGCCAGCCGTCGGAAGGCTCAGATTCCGAGCCTTCCTCTTCACAGTCTCCCTCGCTACCCCTTCATTTCCGATTTTATCTACTGCGTCACGGTCTCGAGTACCACCTTTCTGATGAGGGGAATACCAAAAACCGAAGCATCGAGATTTTCCCATATTTTTAAGCTGGATATTTCATAGCTATACCGCGAATTTCACCCGCATCATTCACCCTAAAGGAATTTGTTTATAGGGGGAACAGGCTTTCTCGGTCCAAAATATCCAAATGTGACTGGGATCCATTTCATTCAATCTGTAAAAGTGAGAGCATCGACCCCTCCGTTTGGCTAGGTCTAGACAACTACACCACAGGCTAAGAACGCGGAGTGCGCCAGTAGAAATTGTACTTGTCTTGTTGGTCCTGCCTAAAAAGGAGAATTTCAAGTTTATTATTACACTTGAGGTTTAGCTGTCGATACAGTAGCCGGAGTTCGGCGCTTCTTAGTCTCTTGAAAAGTATCGTATCAACTGTAAGAATTTTAATTTGAACCTGGGGTCAGATTTAATCCGTCTTCTTGGGCTGCCCGAAGCCCAGTCGGTTGCAGGGGTTTGCATTCTTTCGCTTTCGCTTCATAGCCCCAGTCCACAGAATTACGTTTTCTTCTTTTTTTTATTTTAAAACCAGCGGGGGAGGAGCCGCTTCGCGACTCTCCCCCGCTGGATCCCGTCAGGCCCTATTAATCGAGCGCCCTTCCACATAAATTTACCTTGAAGAAAGAAAAACCCATCTTCCATGCAAACCTCTTTGTATTGACATGCGGTGCAAGCTTGAAATGCTAGTCCCGTTATTAGGTCTGCGGCGCATCTTTCATCGGCTAGGACGCAGCCTCATCCTGCGGCCCAAGCTTGAGGGATTAGCCTCGTTTTTTGGCCTGTGGCGCCAGCTTGAGCGGTTTGCTTCAAGATTAAGCCTGCGGCGCAATTTAAACGGTCACCTCCTTCTTTAACCCTGCGGCGCTAGCTGCAATGGTTGGCTTCATTCCTTAGCCTGCGGCGCTAGCTTGTGCGGCTAGCTTCGTTCTAAAGCCTCGCTCGCAAGATTGTGCGGCTAGCTTCGTTCTGAAGCCTGCGGCGCTAGCTTGTGCGGCTAGCTTCGTTCTGAAGCCTGCGGCGCTAGCTTGTGCGGCTAGCTTCGTTCTGAAGCCTGCGGCGCTAGCTTGTGCGGCTAGCTTCGTTCTGAAGCCTGCGGCGCTAGCTTGTGCGGCTAGCTTCGTTCTGAAGCCTGCGGCGCTAGCTTGTGCGGCTAGCTTCGTTCTAAAGCCTGCGGCGCTAGCTTGTGCGGCTAGCTTCGTTCTCAAGCCTGCGGCGCTAGCTTGTGCGGCTAAATACATTCTAAAGCCTGCGGCGCTAGCTTGAGGGATTAGCCTGCATCTTTAGCCTGCGGCGCTAGTTTCAGTGCCTAGCTGGATTCGTTAGCCTGCGACGCAGTTTAGAGCGACTGACTTCAGAATAGCGCCTCCCTACAGGAAAATACACTTCGAAACATGCATTCCGAGCATAAAGCAAAAAAATACGATAGCCGGGGATCGAACCCCCGATAGCAAGATTGGCAGGCTGACGCTCTAACCACTATACCATGAAGCGCTTGGGAGCGCGCGCGCAACAGCCCTTGTATGCCCCGAGGTGACTGCCGGGAAAGGAGAGCCAAGGCAATCGGAGGCAGCTCCACTGAGGCAGCCAAACGCGCGAGTGCAACTGGCAAGAATGAGGAAATTTGTATTTTCTCGCATTATGCAAATTAGCCCTCAGGGACCCCCAAAAATGAATAAAACCGGCCTTAACTTTGTAAACTTGTATTTTATCTAAATTCTGAGAACGTCATCGGAAACAGAAGGGTCGATTCCCCCCGGGTGACGGAGAATTAGGGCATTTTATGCACGGGAAGGCCCTCAAATCGGGCCTCGAAAGTGACATCCACACACACACACACACACACACATACGCGACCAAATTATATAAGGCGGGATCGGTTGGGCATGCCCTTGGATCGCCCTGCAATATTAAAAGCCAAATATGTTGATGCTTCCCCCTGTACTAATGTTCACGCCGAGTTGTTGATGCCCACCCTCATCCCTCGCACCTCTTACGAAAGGTGTGATTCATGGCGTTCGCTTTCTGTGTACCATTCCCACCATAGAAGACGCCCGCTTTTTCTGTCCGTCTGGAGCTCTGAATGTCCAGGACAGACCATCGCAGCTCTGTTTCTCACGTATTATGGCCCAGCCTCTGCAATACGAAGCGATTCAGTCCGTCGAAAGTATTCGTTTTTGGGTTTGTTTTGCAAAGAAAAAAAACCGATTACTCATGATTCTGAAAAAGAAAATGTTCAGGAGCTATTGATATGCTTTTGCGTTAAAATTGGCCTACTAATAGAGTTTTGGATTTTGCCAAATTAGACGGAATTTTTTTGTACGATTTTTGCTAGCTGTCGCTCTTAAAGTTTTATGGAAGGCGATGAAGCGTTTGAATTGGAATCACTCCCTTTTTGCAAGTTTTTTTTAATAAACTTTTATTTTTGGTGAGTTTCTGGGGGCTAATTTACTAGTTTTACCAGGCTGAAGCGTTGACTCGTTTTTCATATTTTGAATTTTAGAGAATTTTGTGAGTAGAGTTACCCCATTCAAAAAATCGGCAATTTCATCCGAAACATATCGCATCTTATACGCAGTTTTCGTTTCCATACAAAACGTATTTTTGCCGCCTGGCGAAAATTCGAAACCTTGAGCCTTGAAAAGAGCGCTGAATTATTCATACTTGCCTTGTATCGAATTGATTTGCGACTGTCCAGATCGCGCCACGTCCCGAATCATATTTGCGTGTCCTCTTCTCTTGCGGTCTCTCTTCCTTTCACTCTTTCTCACGCTCTCTCTCGTCTCTCTCTTCCTCCCTAATCTCTCTCTCTCTCTCTCTCTTTTTGTCTGCATATTGTTTTTCACACGGCTGTTCCACAACGCTGGGGGGCCGGCTAGGACACAAATTATGCTCTTTTTCTTTGCAAGTCCTTAGCAAAGATCATCTTTCCGTTGCTCAACTCTTTTCTTTGGTTAGGTCCATGCTGGCAAATTGCCAATCTGCTTTAAGAATTATCTATTAATTATATTTTTAATATTTAAGAATGTAACGGAGTAGTCCAGACAATAAAATTATGCCTTGGCTAGACGCCCGAAACTTCGTCATCATCATTTTAGCAATTCTTAACCTTAATTTTTCTTTATTTCTGTTTTCTTTTGCGACTGCTTGTTTTGACTTGTAATAGAGGTTTTTCTACCGGAACCATAATATTAACGTCATGCTTAATTAAACTTTTAGGGCAATAATGACCGAGGACGCGAACGTCGAGATTGATTTGAAGCAGGTCCTCCCTGCCGTCACCTATTTGGCTCCACTCATCGCCTTCGCCATCTTCTTTGGCGTCGTCTTCCTCCTTTCCATCACTTTCATTAACTGGTACGGTAGCTGGACGATTTTCTTAAAGGTTCTGAACGTTTTATCAAAATCTTCCAGGATGTACCTTCTTGTAGATGCGTGTAAATTTGAAAAAGCAAGTTGACAGCTAAAGTCCGAGCGAGACAGTGAGAGTGAGAGAGAGAGACAGACGGACAGAGAGAGAAAGAGCGAGAGAGTGAGCGAAAAAGAGAAAGACGAGAGAGATAGACAGACGAGAGAGCGAGAGAGAGAGCGAGCGAGAAAGAGAGAGAGTGAGCGGAAGAGAGAGAGAGACGAGAGATATAGACCGACGAGAGAGAGATAGAGAGACAGACGGACAGAGCGAGAAAGAGAGAGAGAGTGAGCGGAAGAGAGAGAGACGAGAGAGAGAGAGCCTCAAACATGAGGTTGTTCCTCTAATTATACCAGGCTGGAAAAATGCAACTATCTCGGTGCCCTTAAAAACTTGAATTTTCAGGTTCTGCGTCCGTGACGTCGACGACATTACAGCTTTGGAGGAGGTGCGCATACTTTCTGAATAAAAAAAGACCGCGAAAAACGAGATTTTCTTGGTTTTTGTTCTCGTGTATTCTGAACTGATAATTCACCACACTGGAGATTCTTTTCAATAACACAAAACTAAAAAAGAAGATAAAAGTTTCGTGACTAATCAATCGTTTTTCAGTGGGGCTACAAAGCGAACATCCCGCTCCGCCTGGGCCCCCACCGTCGTTCGGTGGTCGGCCGGAACATTGGCCGCCATCGTCTTGCCGTGGCCACTGAATAATTTGTTTTAGTCAGAATACTATTTAACGATCTTTGTTTTAGCATAAATAATATTTTTCGGCTTGGTAATATGCACTAACATTCGCAAACAACATTTCGAATACTAAACTATAAGATTGAGACGCAAAATAACCCAACCCTCCTTTTTAAGGCTTAAATGCACCTTGAAAAATCCAAATAAAAAAACTTCTTGTCGTCTCGTCGTCTCGCCGTTTCGCTTCGACCTTTTGATCCTTATCAAAATTTCCTACAGGGTGTCAGTTGGTGTAACTCGACAGTTTCAGCCTGTCCATCAGCGAATCTGAATGTCATCTGGATTCGCCAAAACCAAAAACACTTAACACCTCGTTTGGGCTAAGATTTATCTAAACACTACAAAGTAATATTTCGCGTGTCATTAGGAGCGTTGCGTAACCATCGAGACCAGGTTAACCAAAATGGACTATTCCAGCACTTTCCGGGCCCTTTAGAGCCGGTTTTCGGGCCGACGTTGCCCTAGGACCAAAACACGCTTTCAAGCTCATTTAATTTACTGTTGCAAACTGGCATTTTTGAACTATTAAAATTCGACTGAAGTTGGTAAAGACGCCTAACTATTAAAAGAAAAACATCGATCTAGCCCTTCCTAGCCCCTGAAAAAGCATGTTTTCTGTCCAAACGCGTGTTTCCTCTGACTCCAGATAACGTGCCGACAATGGCTGTAAAAGTGAGAGGGAGACCCGGTTGGGCTCTACGTCTGCAACACATCCGTTTTGAAAACCGGAATAGTGAGTATTGTTCCGGAAAATGTCATTATCGAGGCTGCAACCTCATTGGAAATTCTTGATGGTCCTAATTTATTTTAACTTTTTTCAAACTTTTTCTCCTTCTTTTCAGAATGTTCGGCTTACTAATATTACTCCTAACAGGGCTGGCGGTGTATTATTTAATGTAAGTTTTTTCGTATAAAAAGCGTCTGATTTTCATGATTCAATTTAAACTATCGTCTTATTCCAGCTTTGCGACGATCCGCAAAAATTTCTGGAAAAGCCGAAAAGTGCCTGGCCCACCCGGATCACTAATAGCCGGCAATTTCTTCGAACTTTTCGATCAGCACAAGCCATGGGCCGTGGAGATTATGAAGTATACGAAGGTATGTTAGACTGTAAATTCTAAAGGAACGTAGAAGTGGCAAAATTAGCTTTTGTCAACGCTACTACGCCAAATCACGGGGTTCATTGTGCTTTTGCCATCTCTTATTTGCTTCTCAGTTTGCAAATTCGGTTAACTTTGTACGGCTGTCGAGACCTAGTGGCTGTTAGGGGTAAGAGTTTGCGCTTTCTAGGGTCTTTAATGGACCAGCAAGGCAACTTCAGAGGTCACCGGGGCCGATTTTTTACCTGAGCAAAAATGTACTGTATTTCGATCCATTTCAGACTTCGCAGTCTCTTTAAAATCAGTGTCCCTTTAGAAATACGGCCGTGTTTGGGGTTATATGGAGGGTGTGATGCCTGCTTTGGTAATTGCCGACCCAAAAATTGCGCATGAAGTGTATACTACCAGATATGAGGAATTTCAATCCAGAAAGGTATGGTAAAATTAAAGAAAGCGAGCGAGAGAGAGAGAGAGAGGGGAGAGATGGAGAGAGATTTTTTTGTTTAGGGAAATCAACTCCTCCGAAAGACCCGGATGCAGCCGGAGATGAATCTCCTGGACGCGAGAGGCGCAAGGTTTAGCGGAATTTAATTGTTTTTAAATTTTTTTGGGTCTTAGACAATTAAACTCAGCTTTTGAAATGTTACATTCAACTTAACTAGCAACCAGGGTTGAAAAGCCGCTTCGCGACTTTTCAACCCTGGCCCGGTTTCGGACCAATGAAAGTTTGTACTTTGCATAATTCGGCGCGATACACGCTGAAAAAAGTGAAAAAGGCGCTCTCTGTTCCTTTATATAGGCTACTCCCACTTCCGGTGTATGCTACTGGATTCCTAACAAAGAGGGTCCCGGATTTTTCAACAAAAACTTAAATTTAATGTCGAAAATAAGCGTTTTTGATAAATCTGGTATACGTGCAGTCATCTCCAGACCATTACGCACCTAATGACGTATCAAACATATCCCTAACTGCTCCCCTTCTTGAGATACGACTGGAACAACCTGACGGAAGTTGCATGCAAAGTGGCACACACACACACACACAGACACTATTTTTTTATATATAGTAGGATGAAAATGAGTAGATCAATTTTATTACCATTTTTTAGGTGGAAGCGCCTCCGGACCATTGCCAATCCGCAGTTTTCCTCAAATTCGTTGAAAAGAGCAAGTTTTTACAGTTATAGAAAAATTTCCGTATGCAAATTTACCTTCCTTAGACGATTAAAATTACCTGTTAAACCAGCGCGGCGATTTTCTGAATTTTTACAAACAAAATCATCAATAGATATCGATTTCCAGCTCCTCAAATCCGTCAGCTCGTGCTCCGATATCCTCGTTCAATTCCTGGAGAAGGAAGTTGATAAGCCGTCGATAAATATTCACAGGTAAGCCAAATCAAGCGATCAAACGTAACGATATTAATTTCTAGATTTTATCAAGAATTCTCTATGGACGTCATCAACCGAATCGCGCTGGGAGATCAGACGAGCTCGCAGTGGCAAAATGACTGGGTTGATGGGTTGAAATTGGTTAGTAGAAATACTAGAAACTATCTACTGATACGTTACATACCATTTTTAACTCATTTCTATTCTCATCTAGCGGGAAAATATTTTAGGTCTTCGAGCACGATAACCGCGAGCCGTTCATGTTTGCCGCCTTAGCCTTTCCCTCGCTACGACCGGTAGGGGTTATGTTCATTTTTCCTAAAAATCATTTTTCCTAAATTCATTTTTCCTAAATTCATTTTTCCTAAAAATCATTTTTCCTAAAAATAATTTTTCTTAAAAGTCATTTTTCCTAAAAATCATTTTTCCTAAAAGTCATTTTTCCTAAAAATCATTTTTCCTAAAGTTCATTTTTCCTAAAATTTTTCATTCAATAGGGATGCGTAAAAATATCAAGAAATTCCAAATGCTATCATTTTTTAGCAGCATTTGTTTGGTTTGGTTATTAGTAGGCTTTTATCGAAAATCTTTCTTATTATCATTGATCCTTTTCACTTCCAATCACCCAAATCTAGGTTAAACGCGCAACTAAAATACTTCCTATGATCACTCTAGGCAGATCTGACCTTATTCTAAAAAATTTTCTATTTTCTCATGCATATTACTAAAGAACTAGGCCTTTACGGTATTTAACCGGTTTTAGGAAAAATGAACTTTAGGAAAAATGATTTTTAGGAAAAATGACTTTTAGGAAAAATGATTTTTAGGAAAAATGATTTTTAGGAAAAATGAATTTAGGAAAAATGAATTTAGGAAAAATGATTTTTAGGAAAAATGACTGGAATTCGACCGGTAGGTACCATCTATATTTTTTGGTTTGCTGTAGTTTAAGTTATGTCCCTGGATTCTAGATGGTCCGCGTCTTGAACTACCTAAAAATGGCGGCGACGCACAGCAAGTTGGCTCGACTCGTCGGGAAAGTGTTCGCTTCGGTGCAAAGGAGACGCGATGCTAGGGTATCCTTGCGAAAAGCTTGAATCGGCAAAAATTTTCTTTTAAGGAAAAGCACGAACAAACACCGGACGACTTCTTGAACATGTTTTTGGACTTGGAAGACCCGCATTTCAGCCTGGATTACGATCAGGCACACGACAGAGCGGCAGAGAGGGATATGAAAGCACCGGTAACTCTTTCTCATTCTTTCGCTCTCCCCCGCTGTCGCTTTCTCTCTCTTGCACTCGCTCTCTCTCTCTCTCTCTCTCTCTTTTGAAAGTCTATTTCTAGCCCCTCCAAAAAGTGATGACGGAGAAGGAGATCCTTGGCAGTGTACTGCTCTTCCTATTCGCCGGCTTCGACACTACAGCTAATAGCCTCGGTTACGTTACACACCACCTTGCACGTCACCGGGATGTTCAGCAACGACTCCGAGAAGATATTCAGGACACGGTGGTTGAGGGTGAGGTAAGTATCCACAGAACCTCACTTTGCCCGGACTTTTAAATGGGTCATTGAGAGTTAAAATCGACCTTACCGAGGACTAGGTCTCGACACCACGCCAGATCCCAGAATGAAGCAATAGCCCCTGGTGTTTCATAGCGTAACCCAAAATCGAAGGTTTTCACTCGTTTTTGGGGGAGTGCCTAACTGTCGATACCCAGTGGAGTCGAGGGGTCGATTTTTGCGTATCCCGAACGGCTTTAAAAGCGGAAGCCACGATTTGAACATCTTCAGGACCTCACCTTCGAGCACCTGGCCGAGATGAAGTATTTGGACTGTGTCGTCAAAGAGTCGCTCCGACTGCATCCGACGGCTACAAAGTACGTTTAGGGTGAAATGAAAATACGGTATTTAGAGTATCGGCGCGGATCGCGGAACGGGAAACCGAATTAGCTGGGATTCATCTGCCGAAGGGAACGATGATACAGGTTACGAGAGAGAGAGAACGCGCGAGAGAGAGGGAGAGGGAGAGAGAAAGAGTGAGCGAGAGTGAGAGAGAGAGGGAGAGAGCGAGCGAGAGAGAGGGGAGAGAGAGCAGAGAGAGCGATAGTGGCACTGAGTTCAGCTGAAATTTTACTATTCAGATAGATTGCTACTCCATGCAGCGAGACCCCACGATTTGGGGCGACGACGCCGAGGAGTTCAACCCGGAGCGGTCAGAAATTTTTTATTATAATTTTAAACAAGCCTTTCAGCTGGTATTCCGTGACCCCGGAACAGCAACAAGCCTACGTACCATTCGGGGCCGGTCCAAGGATGTGCGTTGGTAAGCTAAAAAACGACATAAAAATTGAAAAAATATTCAATGAAGCTAAGATTGCTAATTCATACTTTAAGCAAAAATTTAATGAATTTAATTTAGCAATGGAAATTAAATTGCTAAATCATACTTTATGCAGAAATTAGATTACTTTACTTACGCAATGAACTTTGAACTTTCAGGGCAACGCCTCGGCTTAAATGAGGTGAAACTCGCTTTGGCAAAAGTGCTATTGAATTTCGACATATTTTTGCCGGAGGATGGGCCGGTAACTTAACCCTTTTTCGAAAAGAAATAATTTGATTTAGCAAACTTTCGACATAATCGGAGCGGTCACTGTGGCGCCGGTGTCGATTAATGTGAAAGTGAAGAAACTGAAGGCATAATTGTGTGGAATTAAACTGAATAAATACTAAATAAAAATTTTCTAAAACCACCACCAGAATACACGGTTAAATATGGGATTTTTCGCGTTATCGGGGGAGGAGAACCAAATTTGGAGAGAGAGAGAGTGAGAGCGAGATCTTCAGAGAGCAAGAGAGAGCGAGGGGGAGAGTGAGAGAGAGAGAGAGAGAGAGAGAGAGAGAGAGAGGGAGGGAGAGAGCAAGAGAAAGAGAGAAAGAGGGGGAGAAAGATCGAGATAAACTAGCAATTCCTGTTCTAAAATTTTTATTCATGTTTCTCTCCATTACGTAAGCGGACAAAAATCCGGGCGAACCTTTTTTCGTGGAATCTTTATCATTTCCCTCGTTCGCTCTATATATTTCCGCTCTCTCTCTCTCTCTCTCTCTCTCTCCTCTCTCTCTCGCTCTCTCGGTCTCTCGCTCTGTCTCTCAAATGATAATTCGCTGAATCCGCGACTGGGATTTCGAGCAGATATCCGTGTGAGTGTGTGGGTGGATAGATATGAGCGGGGTGGGGCTAGACCATTTTTTCGGAACCCATGGATTTTTGGACTGCTATTTTAGCCGGTATTAAACCTCTTAAACTAAAAATCAATTTTTTTTTATTGATATGGATTTCAGATTATTTTATGCTGCCTTTAATCAATTTATGCTTTAACTTATTCGTAATTTTAGTGCCATTTTTAGGACTTTTGCTAGTGAAGAATGCGATTTCTCCTTTTGCTCATTGCCGTCGTCGCTTTCATTTGTCAATTTGGATTATTGGATGGTAAGTTTCTTGGAAACGATGCTTTTTTAAATACCTTTATTATATATTGAATCTATGTGAAATTTTAGCTAGAAAAGCTGCCTCCACCCTCGTAGCTACCGAAGCGCAAACGAACTGCACGGGTCCTAAAGCGAATTGCACGGGTATGATCTGGTTTTTCCCAAAGGATCTCTGCTAGCCTGCCATCGTCCTCAATTTCCCTAGTTGTCTTTGCTACCTTGTTCCTGGTAAGATTCCAGATAACCCCCCCAGCCAGCTCGCCCCCATATGTCCTATTAGTGCGCCGAGTATCTCAAAATGTTCGCCGTGGTCTAAAACCTAACGGAAAGTTTTTTGGTTCCCCCAAAAATCGCTAGAAATGTTTTTACAAGAATTATAAGTCTGGGTCGCCTGTGTTATTTTTTCCTGGTCCAAAGTCGAAATTGGTATCTCGGCTCTAGTTTGTCATACACGGCTGGCAAGGGTACCAAAATGTAGCTCTTGACCTGGAGAATGCGAAAACATGTGATTTCGGTCGAAAAAATAACGAAAAAAGACGAGAATCGACGTCAAAAATTTTAAGCTTGGGCTTGTATAAAGTTTGGCGAAAAAATTATATAAAAAATTTTCTAGCGATTTTCGCCGGAACCAAACAATTTTCCGTTAGGTTTTAGACCACGGCGAACATTTTGAGATACTCCGCGCATTAATAGGACATATGGGGGCCGAGCTGG